AAAAGTAAATGGACTTTCCTAATTTCATAGCAAGTCCAAGACAGGGCTTGGAACAGAACTCTTTGTTCACAAATCTTTTGTGTCACTATAAGATGCTGCTTCTAATTTACAGTCAAAACACTTCAAGTGTTCTAATGGTAAAATATTTACTATATGGCTCAGAAAGTAAGGGACTGAAGACTCAATGATGGTTACCTGCTCCAGGAAGAAGCCCCCTTGTGGTTTCAATAAGGCCCATTTTAGCTGATGAAGCTGTTTGTTAAAAAAACAAATACAGGGTTTAGGTACTTCTTGATCTTTATAACTATGGGTTTTCCATAGTGAACTGATTAATGAAACTACAAACTGCCAATAGTGAGCTGGAACTATTTCTCCAGGAAGTTGGAAAGTCTGAACACTACAGTATTTATCAACAGCCATCTCGAGTCAGCTGAGGGATGTGTAGTATTAGCTACTTACCCCTAATTGTAGCCATTTTATCTAGAAAAATTAACCTTGAGTCCATTCTAGATGAAACATGGAAGAATGGAAACAAAAGAACAAGTCTTCCACTCCAGACTGATTTAAGTAGGGAAGGTTAGATCTAGCCAGAGTGCTGATGCAATATTACATGATAATAACTGTAATTCTACCAAGAAATAGTTCTCTGAAATAATCCTAATCTTGCCTAAAACTAGGCTTTACTTTTTTAAGCAAGGAAACTGCTTTCCCATTAGTAGCTAAATGTCAGAGGTTTGGGACAAACATCTGTTCATTTCCTGAACTGTGCAAGTTCCTCTCTCTGGATTCCATCACCAGTCAGCTATCGCTTGTGCAAGGTCTCTTTAAAATACAGTCACCAAATACAAGAAGATTCCTATATTAAGCAACACACAAACCTGCTACTCGAAGGTCACAAGCTAACGCCAGTTCTAGTCCACCACCCAGTGCATAGCCATCTATTGCAGCAATTGTGGGTACAGGGAGAGCCGCTGCAGAAGAGAACACAAATTATACAGTTTTGTTCCAGAAGTTCTGCTCCATTAACATTGGGAATTTCAGTGCTTAAATGCTAAAGCTTTTAGGAGTTCTCAAATTCAGAATGGCTCAAGAATTCATATTCTGCCACAAGATTTCCGACTGTCTCTAAATGGTAGGAACTGTCTTTCTGTACTTCTCCCTTCTTCGTGAAAAGAAGGCAAAACATTCTTCTTGCATGTGAAGAAGCATGCAAATACAAATACTGCAGCATAAACCAGGATGAATTGTCTCCTTGCAAATGCATGGTGTGAATATCCAGCTGTTGCAGTTAAACAAAGACATCATTCCTAATCACTGTTACAAGGATTAGCCTTTCTGCTGCTTTCCTTAGGTGAGGCTCCTGAATTTGGTAAACACCGTTGTCACCTTAAAACTGAGGAGCCTGAGGTACATGGAGATTAGCTCCAAATCCATGTTCTTAGGTCACTGCCATATGATGAGTACTTCTGAGCATGTACTAAAATTGGGACAAACAACAGAGCTCATTTCATCTAGCATTGTCTCCCAAGAAATACACAGAACTGCATACAGTATCCTTTGTTGTAGCAGATACTATATACATATATGTACTACTGTTCATCATGGATAAGGCATCCTGTGTTTGGAGTGGCACCAGGGTACTTGGTATTTAAGTCTAATATGATCTTTGTTTCTTGCATAAACTGGAGCCGTTTGGGAAAGCTACTCCTAAATGGGTAACTTGCTGCGCCTAGCATCCTTCCCCTACTGGAGCATTCCTAAATGTCTCGGTACAGGCAGTCAAGGACAAATATCCCGAGATAATTATTTACCTATTTCATCCATGAGATTCCTCAGCCTTTTAACAAAGTGCCCAACTTCTGCATCATCCATCTGTGCACGTTCCTTTAAGTCTGCACCTAAATAGAGGATTAAAAGGTTAGAATCCAGGAACAGGGAAAAGACACCTGAACTGCATTCCCTCCCGTCTCTCTTGGGACACAGACCATTTCAGAAGTCACAATACAGTGTTCTGGTTAAGTAATGTCAGTGGAGGTTGGAGTGGGGCCATTTGGGCTGGAGCAGTGGCTAGGCTGCTCTTCTGTGCCCTTTGAACAGGGAGCACGAATCACTGTACGTAATGATGATAATCCATAAAACTGGAAACCAAGGATTCCTAGTACCGGAGGTACCCATGCTTGAAGACGGTTATAAATGGAAGACAAATACTAGCACTATTTGTGCAGCTCACTCCATCACATCTTCATCACCAAAGCAAGCCAAGAGGCAGAAAGAGAGAACAATGTTTGTTATTTGCTACACAAAAGCCAGCCTGTTCTTCTATCACGCATTTCCAACTGCTTTCCTGCACGATCTGATCAGCACACAGCCCTAAGAGGCATCAACATTTGTAAGCTTGCAGAACCTTTGTCACTTACCAGCACAAAAGACACCTCTCACCTCGCTCTTGAACACCACCACACGAATGTTCTCATCCAAGCGGAGCTGTTCCAAAGCGCTGAACAGCTATGAGAGAGGGAGTACAAATAAGAGAAGAAAAACTTGTAAGCATCTCAATCTGTAGACCTGAATTACAGCAAGCTCCTAATCTGTGACAAAAATTCTTTTTCTCCCTCTGCAAGGGCCAGGAATTTCCTGGAAATCACGTATGTGGAGCCAGGAGAATCCTTCCACAACACCCTCAGAATGAGATGTTTCTACATCTCTTTCTTCCATTCAGAGATGAACCTTTCCTGTACCTTAAACTCCCCCGTAATTATGCAAGTAAGGACACTAACTTGAGTTAGCTAACTAAAATAACTCCAGATATTAGTTAATATTGCATGGTATGTTGATAGTGAAGTATCAACATGCCATGACCTCTTTTCTTCAGGCTAACCTGCCCCAAGGCAGTCTCCCACTCTTCAGCAAAAGATCAAGTTTTTGTTTCAGATTTCCCACTACTGTTCTTACTGCAGTTAGTTACTGATCATGATTTCAAACACATTCACAGGCCAGGCCCATACTCACTTCATTTACAAATACTTTTCCCAATGAATTTCTCGCGTGGGGTCGGTTCATTAGGATTTCAGCAATACCTTAGTAATAGGAGACAATTTCAGTTATACTTCGTTTAAGTTCTCTGACACAGTAATTCAACTGGGAACAATATCTGCATGTGCTGCATCTTCTCTTTCCTGAAAATGCATATAAAGTGTATTCTAAAACAATTGGTTATTTAAAAGTGGAGGTGGTAAACCATGTCTATGGAACCCAGTTATGCAGGACAGCTGTGAAATTCAGCAGCACTGTGAATAATATAAATAAATAAAGCAGACTTTTTACAAGAAGGTGCCATCCAAGTATATATGTCTTAGAATCATTGCAGGCAGAGAAAAAAACAACCCAAACCCAACAAACCCAAAAGATCCATCTTAGGTTTCTGTTTCAAATGCAACTAAATTCAGTTTTTCTTGCCCAGTCTTCAGGTTTTGAGGCGCTGGCACAGGGTGCCCAGAGAAGCTGTGGCTGCCCCATCCCTGGCAGTGTTCAAGGCCAGGTTGGACACAGGGGCTTAGAGCACCCTGCTCTAGTGGAAGGTGTCCCTGCCTGTGGCAGGGGGTTGGAACTGGATGAGCCTTAAGGTTCCTTCCAACCCAAACCAGTCTGGGATTCTATGATTAATGACAGAAATCATCCTCCTGGGATTGCTGTTGGAATGAGAGCAGCACAAGCTGGTCACCCTCACTTCATGCTTCAGAACCATTCTGAAACTGCAGCTCCATTTAATTTCAAGTTAGAAGCTCATCATTGACAGGACTTCACTCAAAGTTCGTAAGTCCAAGCAGAAAACTAAGACCACAACATCCACCTACTTTTCCCTTGAACTTGTGTTTTGTAAATCATTATCCAACGTTTTCTGTATGCTTTGGCAGGAAAAAAACCTCTCTCCCTTTTCCTTGTCTGGACTTCTGCTCGCTTCCCAGGCCTTAACGTTGGCAGATGCTCTTGCTGCTGCTGCAGGTGCACAGATGCTCCTCGCATCTGTCACGCTTGCTCCCTCTGCCCTGCTGGGAGGTCTGTGTCTATTTCTGTCTGTGCCAGTGGCCAGTCAGTGAACAAGCGACATGTCACATAGGAACAGACACAGGTAACAGGCACCCACAAACAATGGAAACTCACCATTCCAGTAACTACATTCATGTGTACGCAAAACTATCAGGAAGTGTTTACAAGCTCTTGCAGCGGTTGCTCTTATCATAAAGTAATTCCAGTGGCAACCTGCACCAAAACTCAGATTACTTCTTGGTGTCCCATGCAGAGACATGCCCCGGTCATACCCTACCTTTAGCACTGTGCATCACTGAGACCAGAAGAAGCTAAGGTATGCAACCCAGGACTTCTTGTATCAGTATCTCCTGCATATATAACTTCTAAAAATGGATCTAGTTAGTTATTTGGCAGCTGTGCCCTTGAAAAAGCCATCGAGGCATAACCTGAAGCAAAGATACCGTAAGCACCCTGCCTGCGATGGACCCTGCAGGGCCGTCGGTCACCTGCTGGGCTACGAGGGACAGCTCAAGTGCGGCCGGGCCCCGCCGCAGGAGCTGGGGACACGCGGTGCCACCAGCGCCGGGTCGGGACCTGGCGTGTTTTAACCAGGAACCGGTACAACGAAGCACACCGACCGCTCCTCCCGCCCGCAGCACCACGGAACCGGCCTTGCCCCACTCAGCACTGGGGGCAAAGGAGCGCCGGGGCCTGCCCGCGCTCCCCGGGGCGCAGCTGGGGCGGGTCCCGCCGCACTCACCGCTGCTCTCCCCGCCGGCCGCGCTCACCAGCACCTCCGCGCCCCGCCGCGGGGCGGCCGCGCTACGGCCCCGCCGCAGGAGCTCGCGTCCCGCCCGGCTCAACCACATCGCGGCTCCGGGACCCAACGCCCTCGGGGCCGGGCCTCGGGAGACCGCCGCAGGGAGCACTGCGCGTTTAAGGAGGAGGGGCGGTGGCTTCACGCCTCTCGGGCGCTCACCCCGCCCCTTCGCGCTGGGCTGTCGGCGGTGGCGCGGCCGGAGGGGAGCGGGTGCAGGGGCACGGCCGCCATCATGGTGCCTCGCCGGGTGTTCGTGGTGGGCGTTGGCATGACCAAGGTACGGGGCTGCCTGCGCCGTGCCCGGTGAGGCGGTGCGGGAGGGCACGGCGGGGCCTGGTGCCTGTGCCGGGGCCGGGGGGCGGGGGGGTGTCGGGGGTGTCGGCCCGAGCAGGTCTGGTCCCCTTCGGGCGTCCCCGCTTCGCGCGTCCCCTGTGGTGCACGGCGCCGGCCGGGGCCTGCGGATCGGGCCTGGGCCGCAGCGGCTCCGTGCAGAGTTCACCTTCGGTTGGTGAGAGCTGACCCAGCGGCCAAGTTAAACATTAAGGAGCTCCGCTGGGATAGTCAGTGTAACAGATGTACAGCGGGCAGGGGGGTGCCGTGTCACTGCAGCCTCCGCTTGGCCCGGTGTTTTGAAGGGCCCGAAGCTGAAGGGCTCCGGGGGCACTGGCAGCAGCAGAGCAGGTGCACTGCAGATGCTGTGGTGGGGACTGACACCAGCTCCGGTCGTTTGGTGGCCGACAGAGTTCACGCAGCGCGGCTCCTCTACAGCTACCTGAAAGGAGGCTGTCGTGAGGTAGATGTCGGTCTCTTCTCCCAGGTACCCAGTGACAGGATAAGAAGTGGCCCCAGGTTGCACCAGGGGAGGTTTAGATTGGATATTAAGAGAAATTCCTTCCCCAAAGGGTGCTCAGGCATTGGAACAGGCTGCCCAGGGCAGTGCTGGAGTCACCGTCCCTGGAGCTATTGGAAAGACGTGTAGCTGTGGCACTTAAAGACATGGTTTAATGGTGATAAACTCATATATTGCTTAAACTCACTTGTGATATGCTCAAGGAGGTAACAGTAGTGTGGAAGAGACAACTAAAAGTTGTCAGACACCAAACTGCATCTTAACTGCTCTATCATGAAGTCCTTTAGAATAGTTAGGGTTGGAAAGGACCTTAAGATCATTCAGTTCCAACCCCTGCCATGGGCAGGGACACCTCACACTAAACCATGTCACCCAAGGCTCTGTGCAACCTGGCCTTGAACACCGCCAGGGATGGAGCATTCACAACTTCCCTGGGTAACCCATTTCAGCGCCTCACCACCCTCACAGTAAAGAGCTCCTTCCTTATATCCAATCTGTATCCTTTCTCTTTTTTAATCTTAATGATGTAATGTCTTCCAAAGATGAGTATACCTTCTCAAAACAAGAGCCTGTGCTTCCTGCGTGTGTAATTGCCAGTCCTACAGACCGTGCCTTGCATTTTTATGAGTGGATCATCATCTCAGTTACCAGCTTAGTGAGAAATTGTCACTACGCTTTTCCCCTCTTCATTAGCCTAGATAGCATCAATTGCTCTTACAGACTTTTACAGTCATCAATTCACTGACTGATTTTCCTTCTGACCATCAGTACGAAGTTTCTCTGTCTAAATTAAGGAAATGAGGCTCTACAGAAAGTGCAGCTAAGTGTTGTGAACCACTGGAGCTGGTGAGCAGTTAGAGTATTTTTATATACTAACAGTGAAGGTCGAATAATGTGTAGAACTACAAGTTGTTAGTATGAGGTGGGGTATTTTAGCAGCGACACCTTTTGTGAATGATGTAAAAATGCACAATGTATGTTTCTTGGTGGTTTCTAAGGAGTCATACTACAAAGAAAATAGAAATACCACCTCTCTGGTGAGAGGTAAGGTGTGGTAGGACTTGTAGCAAAGGGGAATAAGGCTCAGAAAAGGGAGGCTTTATACAGAATTAAGTTCCATACAAAACCCAATCATTTTCTTGTTACAAAGAGGAGGATAACAAAATAAAGTGGAAGGGAAATACTTACCAAAGCCTTAGGGAAGATTATGTCTTGTGTTACAATGAATCAGTGAGGATGACAGTTATTCTCTGTCCCACCCAAAGGCTTTGGACAGGGTTACTGTATATCTGCATTTAAATCATGGGTCTTCTTTAACACTGAGATAAGGCGGTCCTGAGTACTATTTTCTGTTGTTAGCCATCACAGGCTAACAGGGCCTGTCAGTAGCACTTGGGAATTGTGCAGGTTTTGTGCGTGTGCTTTTGGGTCAATTAAATGAAATTGTTTGGTTATTTAAAGCTGATTGTTCACAAACCTGTTTCTAAGTTAAATATAAAGGGTTAAATGCACCAGTTGGAGCAAAAGAGCTATGAAATCTCACTGTAATTTGTTCTTGTGTGGTTTCTTGTTTGTTTTCCTTGTTTTTTCTCATCAGTTTGCAAAGCCTAGTGAGCGCATGGATTATCCTGACATGGCTAAGGAGGCAGGTAATTTAATAATGAAGCATTTAGTTTGATTGCTGACACTTAGTTTAAGTCTGACAGTTAATATTTTTCTTTTACATATGAAGGAATACTGCTGTTCAGTAAATAGATATGTATTAAAAGCAAATCTAAAACTGTTAAAAACCTCACAAAATCCATAACTGACCTGTTCAATTCACTGCCTTCCCGTGCTGGTTAGAAGGACAGCTTAAAATTGACTGGGACATTTATTTTAAGTGTCCTATATTATTACCTATATTCTACCTATATTCTTCAAGTGTACTTTCATTGGGACAGACAATGTGCATGAACACAGATGCATGAAACTTTCTGATAGGGAGCTTGTTCAGAGCTCAAAACACTGCAAAATTGTCTTTATGAGAATTAAGATGCAAGATTATATTAACCATCTGCATCATATAATAAGTAATTTTTACAGCTATCTCTTTTTCTTGTTTGTGAATGCATGAATAATACATAGTACTCTAGGTCTGCTTGTTCTGGTTGTGAGAGATGGGTTTGGTGGGGTTTTTTTCTTCAATTTTGAACTTCTTTTCAACTCTTTAACTTCTTCTAGGCCAAAAAGCTTTAGCTGATGCTGGGATTCATTACTCAGAAGTGGAGCAAGCATGTGTGGGTTATGTTTACGGTAAGCAATGTCATTTGGTTGAGATGTGACATGTGCAGACATCTGTGTAGATAAAGCTTGTCCACATCTGTGTGGATAAAGTGTGGGGGATCCCATCCATTTCAGGTTATATTTAATTTTGTAGAACTGTCTCAGTTTTAAAAAATCTGTTATTTTTAGTGGTCACAGATCTATGTCTGTGTATGTATGGAGTTTACAGCTGTAGTCATGGGTATGGAAAGACTTACATAAAGTTGTGTCTTGCAGTGTTTTATGCAAGTAACTCTTTCAGCAAGACCAGGTTGTGTATTTATTCAGGTGGTGCAAACCTTACGTATGACAATGTTTATGGCAGTGCACTTGAAAAGTCATTTATTCTCTGTGTGATGCTGTGTGCACACTGGAGTGGATATGCTTGTTTGTTCACCACCCTGGACTTGCTAGGGGGTATTCTGGGGATCAAAACTGTAATGTGTCCTTGCACTTTCAGCCCAAGAACATGACAGAGGTATGTGCTTGGACTCGACTCCTAAGTGATAGATGAGATGTACTCTGAAAGAGGTTCATAGCTTTTTCAATTGTATGGATGTATATAGAAAGATAACCATGATTTAATGTGCTGTATAAGACTATTGAAACACATGCATAAGCGTGGCTCCAGAATAATGCTTTGCAGCTGAAGCAGCCAAAACCAACACAACCCTCCAGTTTTCTAGTAGACACTCTTAGCAGAAGCTTTTAACTTGCAGTTACTGCTTAATGTAGTGAAAGGAGACGGTGTTAAGTGACTGGTTTGAACCTTTTCTTGCCACTGCAGTACATAGATGCCTGGTATGTTTCTCAAAGCAGTCAGGTTTCTATTAGAGGAAATTTGTTTCCATTCCAGACAGAGTTTTCTGTTTACTTTCTTCCTGTTTCTCTCTTAATGACTGTATTAGGACATTAGTAGGGTCAGTCAGCTGGGATACTTCTAGCAGCTTCCAAGCCACACCTGTAAGATGTTTCTGTCCTGTCCAGTTATCTTCCATTTATTTACAGCCTGTTATCACAGAAGCAGGAGTAATATATGTTTGTAAAATATGATGATTTTCATCTTGTTTCCAAGGTTCTTGTACAATGGATACTTGGGAGATACTCAAGATGACAGTTCAGAAGTTCACGTTTAGTGTTGAAGTACTAGCATTGCACACACATGGTTGGATTTTGTTTTGCTAGTCAAGTTTGAGTATGTACCTTATTTTAATGTTGTGTCCATGCATAAAGGTGATTCGACCTGTGGACAACGGGCAATCTATCATGGTTTGGGTTTGACTGGCATTCCTATCATTAATGTTAACAACAACTGTGCTACTGGATCAACTGCTTTGTTCATGGCCAGACAATTAGTAGAAGGAGGTGAGTTGTTTTGTTCTGGGGCTGGGTAATACATATTCTCTATTTCTATAAATATAACTTGAATGAAGAATGGAACTAGTGAATGTGTGAGTACTCCGAATTGTAAGTGTACTATCCTCATAGGCAAAATGGTGTTTTCTGCCTCACTCAGCTGAAAAGGTTGATCACTTATATGTATGCAAATATGAGACCAAGCACTTAAAAGAGCAGGGCACTAGAACATCATGTGTGCACTTAAGAGACTGTGTCAGTGATGCAGTAAGATGGTGTGTATGGATAGAAATGTTCTTTCCTGTGTCAGAAGCTGCATGAACCTAGTAAGTAGGAAGCCAGGTAAGTTTTTCCTGGAAGAATTGTCTGGAGTAGTGCAGAAGCAGTTGCATTATAGACACTAGACTCTGCAGGATGAAAAGGAGAAAAGAATCTGTTAAAAAGCTTGGCTTTTTATCTTCTTTTTTTTAACTTGAAAACACCAGTATTTGACCAATGCATTTTTTGGAAGGGAGGGGAGGAGATCAATGCCTTGTGACAGACCATGCTTTGAACTGACAGATGAGTCTTTCCTTCTGTTTCTGCAGTTCCTTTGTGGACTTTGATACTTTCTTGCACTTAAGTGCTGATGTTTCTGGAATCAAAACTATAGTAACATTCTGTATGATTCTTGTGTATTTGTAGCAGAGATGTAAGTGCTTGGTCATCTATGATAATTGCTGTCAAACAGGTCGAAAGTAAACCCAACCCCTGTAGTGATCTTTCATTCTTCAGTATCAATATGTTTGTATCAGTACAATTCCCACCCCTATTTGTCTCTCCTTCAAAAATGAAGAAAGGAGGAAGAACAGCTGGTAGGTTTTTATGTATATCTCTTGTTATTGAATAATTGCTAGTACATAATGTCATTTATCATTACATTGTGTTTTACATAGTCACAATTTTTATCTTAAGGTTTGGCAGACTGTGTTCTGGCCCTTGGCTTTGAGAGGATGGCAAAAGGATCCCTTGCCTCAGGTGTAAGTGTCTGAAACACTTTCATTACATTCATAGATTCAATACACCTCCTCATTCTCTGAGGCATATGCTAATAAAAACCAGTTGCTTTAAGATGCTGCTGTAGATGATTACAAAGTAAGCCATTGTTTTGATCCACAGAAACTTTTAATGAGTTTTATGATTCTGATTGCAGCTGTGATACACACATTTTGTGGAATGTTCTAGAATGATTTTTTTTCTGGTATGTCATGCTTTTAGTATTTTGTCAATATGTTAAAGGCAGGGTAAACAGGGAATAATGAAAACACAGGGTAGAATACTGAACCACTGAGCAATTGAAGTGTCTTTAACAAAGTGACACAGCAAATCAAAGAAAGAATCTGGGTCTTCTGGCTTTTTGCTTCATGCTTACTCAGTTGAGCACTTTCCCAAAAACTGATGGCTTTTGTAAACCTTTCTTACCCGTCTCTTCTTGTGTGGGTTATTTGTATTCTGCCTTATTGCAAGCAATATTAGAGCCTATATGCCTGGCAAGCAATATTAGAGCCCATTTAACTACACAAATGCCAAATTGGATTATATATGCAGAGGTTTGGGTGAGAAATGTTAAATTTAACAACTGATTTGGAAGAAGAGTTATTTTTAACATGCTTTATGATGCTTCATCTAAGCTTCGTTAAAAACACTAATACAGTGTTGATTTTATAACTTGGAACTACAGTAACTGTAGGATTTTAAGCCGAGGCGAGAAGTCATATAGGAATAGTCCTTGCCATGAATCAGTGCAGTGATTGTACAGTTATGGATTTTCTGCTTATTTACTCTTTCTTATTGTTGGGAAGTTATGAATGCTTCAACGCATGCCACTAAAGTGCGGCATGTCCAGTGGACTTGTGAAAATATCAAACCCGTCTGTTTTGCTTGAAATACATAGCAGTTTTGTGATGATCTTGTAAAGAAAAGGAAGTTATGACTTGCTTTATGACTCTTCCTCTTCTTTTTTAGTTTTCAGACAGAACTAATCCAATTGACAAACACTTGGAAGTTATGATAAATAAATATGGGTTAGCAAGTGCTCCTGTAGCACCTCAGATGTTTGCAAATGCTGGCAAAGAACATATGGAGAAATATGGTATGTTAAAAGACATCTTTTTTTTTTCATTGTCCTCTTCTAATGAAGTGAATTAAAACTTATTAGGATTTTGTTTTTTTTAAACTGATGGTGTTCAGTGTCCTTTCTTTTACCCAAGTACTACAACTGCAGCTAACACATACAGGAATACATTTGGATAAAGAGTTACCTACAGAAAAGTTGGTGATGTGTAGCCAAGCAAAACCATCAGGAGGCAAAATAAGGCTGTGATACAGAGTGTCTGGTAATCATGCTAATGAAATGGTTTGTGGTTTTGTAAGATCTGGGCAATAAGATTGTGTAACTTCCTGCATTTTTTTCATTTGTCTTAGGATGGGTAGAGAGGCTTAAGACTGAATTGCCTCACAAAAGCTTTTGGGTGTTTGATTCAATCTATAGCACTAGGCTGCTGCCACTGCCATTTCTTACCCCCTCAGCAGACAAGGGAATTGGCTTCCAGATAACAGGCTGGTGGGTTGAGCATCTTCTGTTTGCTCTTAGTTTTAGACGAGTATGTGGGAAAATTTTAGACAGACTCCAGTATTTCACCACAGCTGTTCTGCACCAATAGGAAAATGGGTATTCAAGTTTCAGTAATAGAATCATAGAATAGTTTGGGTTGGAAAGGACCTTAAGATCGTCTAGTTCCAACCCCCGTGCCATGGGCAGGGACACCTCACACTAATCCATGTCACCCAAGGCTCTGTCCAGCCTGGCCTTGAACACTGCCAGGGATGGAGCATTCATAACCTCCCTGAGCAACCCATTCCAGTGCCTCACCACCCTCACAGTAAAGAACTTCTTCCTTATATCCAATCTAAACTTCCCCTATTTAAGTTTTAACCTGTTACCCCTTGTCCTATCACTACAGTCCCTAATGAAGAGTCCCTCCCCAGCATCCCTATAGGCCCCCTTCAGATACTGGAAGTCTTCTATGAGGTCTCCATGCAGCCTTCTCCAGGCTGAACAGCCCCAACTTTCTCAGGCTGTCTCCATAGGGGAAACATACCTCAAATAAAATGCACTTATTTTCTGTATTTTTATGTCAGTAAGTGTTAAATATCCAAATAGGATGTCTGCTAGCTAAAACTCAGTTCTTTTTAGTAGCCTTTATCTAATTTTTAGACCTGAGATGAGTTCTAAGGAAAGCCTTGATATGACAATGAGTCTCTTGTAAAGATGCTTGTGAAGGTCAAACCAATATTTAAAATGCTATGTTAGCACTGCTGGGGTAAACAAACACTTCAGCACAGCTTTCCTTCGCCTTCCAGGGACAAATCCGGAATACTTTGCAAAAATTGCATGGAAGAATCATAGCCATTCAACCAACAACCCGTGAGTTACGTACTCTACCTCTACCCTGAACATGTGTTGCTGTTAAAAAAATCATTCAAAACCGAGCATTATTTTTAGAGTGTATTATTTCTTAGGGTGTGAAAATGACCCTCAGCATAAACTCTATATCCAGTGCCTTACATTTTGTAAAATCAGCTCTGTATCTGCCTAATAGTGTGATATTAGTGTGTCTACTGCTAAGGGCTGTACTAAAAGATGGTGTCTATGTGTTCTTGCCAGGTATTCCCAGTTCCAACAGGAGTACACATTAGATGAAGTTCTGCATTCTCGCAAGATTTTTGATTTCTTGACTGTCTTACAGTGTTGGTAAGGAGAGGACTTAGCATTGTGGTATAAAACTTGATGTTAAGCCAAATACGGTAGGATATCTAGTTAAATAAAAGTTTCTTTGCATGTGAATTAAAATGGACGGATTATTTGAAGAAAACTTCTTATAAATAAAACAGATGTGGAATCTCTGTGCTGACCAAACACTATCTAGGTACTTGTTCACAGTATAATGCAATAAGCTGAAATATATTTAGTACTTTGGGGCTCTCTTGTCATTCATAGAACCATAGAATGGTTTGGGTTGGAAAGGATCTTAAAATCATCAAGTTCCAACCCCCCTGCCATGAACAGGGATGCTTCACACTAGAACATGTCACCCAAGGCTCTGTCCAACCTGGCCTTGAACGCTTGATTCTGTATCTTTTATCAATGAGCATCCACTGCTGTTAAGTGTTGATTCTTCTCTTCAGCCTTTCCTATACCCTCCTGAAAGGCTTATTACTAATAATGTCTGTAGCCAGGTAGAAGCTTTGATATTCTTTCTAAATTGAAAAAAAACCAAACATAATGATTTGTGTGCATTTTGATGTCATGCTTTTCAAATGTCTGTTAAGACTATTGCTTAAAGTGCCCAGCAAACACTGATGGAATTTATCGTTTCTGTGGCATCAGCCAAAGTATCTTTCTGTTTGTCCTTTTTGGGTTGTTTTGGTTTGCATTAAAAGATAATTCAATGGAAGATTGACATTACTAATACAGAATGCTGACATCATTATTTTTCTTCCAATCAGTCCAACATCAAATGGTGCTGCAGCTGCAGTTTTGGCTAGTGAGGAGTTTGTGAAAGGGCACAAGTTGCAGCCACAGTCTGTGGAAATTCTAGCCCAGGTGATGGCTACTGATTATCCAAGCACGTTTGAAGAAAACAGTTGTATGAAGATGGTAGGTTTACAGTTCTGTATTCCCTGGTACTCCTCAGTGTTGGGTTTTTTAATACCTGCAAGTCTTAATGATACTATAGACATTTCCGTGTCAGTTAGCAAATTATACTCTGTGGCAAATATAAAAGTAATTTCATTTGGGCAGGTGGAAGAAGCAATGAGTATGGTTGTGGAATAATAGTCAGAACTTTATAAACAGGCTATCAACCCCCTCATTTTCAACCAGTTATTTAAAGGCTGCTCTTAATTGAAAAGCAAGAAGGTTTCTTTATTTAAAACAATCTTACTTATGTCTGTGTAATGCTGAGCCTGAAATAACCTGTTGGGTATAGTCACTACTTGGTTAAGTAGAATGAAGGGAAAGACATGAACTGTGAAATCTGGATCCCACTGCAAACTGGTAAAAATAATTGGATGTAAGTCAACCATTAGAATACCCAATAGTTTCTGCTTCAGTCATGTCCTGTTTGGGTTTCAAATACAGTTCTAGTTAGGTGGCTGATTGAAAAAGGCAGCAAGACAGTTTGAGGCTTTGTTTCAAGGCTGTTTGCCTGAGTCATGCAAAGGAGCAATTTAGCTTGTGAGCAAGGTTGAGAAAACAGAGGATATTTGCCAGAAAAGCTTCCACATGCCAACATCAAGACTTAGAATACTATCTCTTTTTATGCAATTCATACTGTATGAATATTAAACTGTGATGTAAGATGCATAAAAAAATAGAATGCCACCTCCTACCTCAATTTCAGGGTAGATAGAAACACATTTAAAATTAAGTGTAGAAATGAAATTGCTTGTAATTTTAATGTGTCTTTAATGATATTTTAAGGTATAATTTCTTCTCGCTGCAGGTTGGCTATGATATGACTAAAAAAGCTGCTGAAAAGTGTTTTGAAAAAGCAGGCCTAAAACCTGCAGATGTTGATGTGATCGAACTTCATGACTGTTTCTCAGTTAATGAGTTCATCACCTACGAAGCGCTGGGACTCTGTCCAGAAGGTAATAGCATCAATGGAGAGCTTTGTTTTAGTAAAATGGAAAGCATTAAAAATGCCTTTGTATCTGTTCATACAATCAAAACTTTGAACTATCTATTGGCCAGTCTGTATTTGAAAGTCTTACTGGCTGACTTCATAAGAGGGAAAAGGAAGTTAGACCGTCGTGAGACTGGTTAGTTTTACCCTACTCAGTACGAGAGGAACCGCAGGTTCAGACCCCTGGTGTGTGCTCTTGGCTGAGGAGCGAGGCTACCATCTGCGGGCTTATGACTGAACACCTCTAAGAACCTACCTAGATGCTTGTTGTGCTGTTGAGTCATCGGTTGCTTGTGATTGACCCAGGAGATGACAGTCTTGTTCAGAATGCATGGGTAAAGGTCTTTCCGAATCTTCCTTAGCGAAGACAGGCATTCCTCATAGGAGAAAGAAAACTCCTATCTTCAAACCCGGGCTGATGGAGCTCGCCTAGCCTTGTATGGTCTTCCATCAAAGAGGACACTCTTACAGAACCTAAGACCTGTGGACTTTGTTGTCACCGTCCTAGCTAACTAGGCCGTGCCAGTTAAACCTCAGGTTTAAAGGGTGGGGCCAGTTCTGCACAGGCTGGAAGGGCTCACTCTCACCCATCTGTATGGATGGGCGAGGGTCCAATGGTAGGTGACAAGGTGCATGGGAAGCTGCAGATCCAACGTTGCACGTGGGCAGACCAGTGCATGGGTAGCTCGAGTTAGCTCAGGAGTTGACAGCTGTGGTCAGACACTTCCTGATTGCCTAAGCAGCCTTTTTCTCCAACCAGATTTGGATATCCCACATGCCCTTGGTCATCATGCTTGTAGTAAGCATGGTTAAAGCCCTTCCCAAATCTTTGCTCACAAAGCCAAGCTATCAATCAATATAAAGAAGACCTGCGAACTCTAGAATCACTTTACTGTGATTTCTGAAGAAATCTACAAAGCTAATTAAAGTGTTGGGCAACTGTGTGAAATTCTGTGGCTAGCATGTGCAAGGATGGCTCTTTTAAGGAAGCAGAACAAGGAAACTGAGGACTCTTGTGATCTTTATTGGTGTTATGCCCCCTTTTCAGGGCCTTATAGCTACCTACCCCAAGATTTCCCTCCATCTTTGTATTTCCTTTTAAGAAGATAAAAATGAGACAAGAACTGCCTGTAGAGGGCATTTTACTCATCTTCAGTGAGACTTTCCTCAAAATCTTGAAACATATTTGCTGTTGAAAAGAGTTGTTGGCAAGTTGCGAACATGCCTCTGAAGTCAACAGGGTAACAATGCACAATCTGTCCAGATTAGTTTAATTCAGTGAAGTGAGTGGATTTACAACACGTTAAATGACAGTGGAGTTTAGTTCTTTTATGGAAGTCCAACCATTACAGTTTTCTACTGAAGAGGTTTTTAGATTTCAAATAAATAATGCATTGAATTGCTACTTTAGCATTTGATGTATTTAAATGTATTCTTGCTTTGTGTAAATAACCATCTGATGTAGTCTTTCTCTAATTTGTTTTTAATTGGGGAAAATATCATACTCTGTCACTAGATGGTGTATTGCGTTATGTCTAAACTTCTCACTGAAACAAGTTTGTGGAACTTTAGGAAGACTTCATGTGTTTGTAGGGCTTCCAGTATTTGCCATTGTTTGCTTTCTACTGTCATCCTTCTCATGGTTTTTATGGTATCTACAGTAAAACCAGTAAATGTTTGATGCTATTTAAATCAGAACATTAAGCTTTTTAGATTAATTTTTTTAATTGAAGATAAAGAACAATTCTGGTGGTACTTGACTGTCCAGTAAGTCTGGTGTGTAGTAATTTAACAGTGCAATTCTCACCACCTTTCAGTCAGTCTGACCTTAATAGTATGTGAAACTTACCTTGAAATGGTAGGCTCATTAGACATTAGTCTAATTAGAGATTAGTGAAATGGCATAAACCACATTGTGGATTTAGATGTGCAAAACTGACCTGGTACTTGCAACTTGGTGACAACAGAATTGAAAAGTCACTTAAAAGCGATTACTTTTGTAATTACTGTTTTATAGGAAAAGCATGTGACCTGATTGACAGAGGAGATAACACTTATGGAGGAAAATGGGTTATTAATCCTAGCGGTGGCTTGATTTCCAAGGGACATCCACTTGGTGCTACAGGTATGCAGAACCATGTCATTTAGTCACACCAGTTAGATACAAGATACAGCTCTTGGGCCAGCAGATGCTTCCCACTTGCATTTGTCTGTATGAAACATGAGGGTTTCATGAGACTAGAAGGAAGCTCCGGAGTTGATTCTCATTTCCAACTAAGGCAGGTTGACCGTGTAGGATTGCTCAAACCAGAAGACTTGGAGTGTGTTTTTGATCATGAGCACTTAATTTTATGGTGCTTTTCCCCCCCTCGGTTATTAAAGCAACCTGCAAAACAGCTTAACTTTTTGCTAAATACTTGCTCAATTGTACAACTCGTGCTGAATGTAGTTTGAATTTTGCTGTTTTCATCCTTTAAAATTCAGATTTGGGAGATTTTTACTGCAGCTGAATAGCCTGTACCCTTGTTAGCTGCAATAAAAGCTATTTCTGTAACACTTGGATGGCAAAATATTTACTTGATGTTTACTGAGGAAGCTCAGGCATCATTTCCCAGCAACACAGGCTTTCCTTTTTCCTTTTGTTTTTTTGTTTTCTTCCAACTGCTGTGCTTGCTTCCAAATGAGCAAGCATATATAATGGATATATAAGTATATATAATGAATATATAAGCATATATAATGGATATGCAATCATATATAATGGATATAATGTATTTGGATTTGTGAGGATAATTCACCTTCCTTGTTTGGAAATGAGAAGCTGTTAGAAAACTGGAGGAGACCTTGTAAAAGAACAGATCTTAATCTTAGCAGCTGGATAGCCTGCAGTTGATGGGTGGAGAGAGTATTAGGCAGCTTTGGAAGGAGAACATACTGCGTAAATGAGACTGGGGGTATCTGTAACAGGATGGGAACATTACGTTGCTAGGTTTCTGTTCAGTCTTTGTCAGTTACTCAGTGACACATGTAGAGACAGTTACTGGTGTGGAAAGAGTTGTTAAAGAGCAGAAAATGACCATGTCTACAGGCTGTCAGCTTAATTTCACTCTAAAACAGTCTGGAGGCCAGCTGTGTGCCAATCAGAGGTCCTACAAGTCACCTTAAGTTTCCAAATCATCCCAGAGCAGGTTGTACCACGGAACACATTCTCTCCTTGAGGCTGCGAGGGTGTAAATGAAACCTGTTAATTCTCCTCTGTGCCTGGAATGACAACACTCTTACTTGCCCTGTTTGTAACGTTTCAGTTAGCGGTGTGTACAGTGCCAAGTGTAAAATACAGATGCCTACGCAGTTACCTGGGAGAAAGGAGAGGAAGGGATGGATGGAGGGAAGAAGAAACGTGTGGTGGAATGGGATCGCAGTTGCAGAAATAGTTGATAGTGAGGGGAATGCCAGCTGAAAATCGGGGGTGTAATGGAAAGGGATCCACCTTCGTTTTGGGCCTCCCAAGAAAAGCTGTTTCTGTGTACCTGGATTAACGTTCCCAAATCCTATCTTTAGTAGTCCCCGAACGCCTTTCCAAGGAGGGAGGTTTACGGCACACACCCATTGCGTGTTCCTTGTGTCGCTCTGTGCTCGATTCCTCAGGCCTGGCGCAGTGCGCCGAACTCTGCTGGCAGCTGCGCGGCCTGGCCGGGCGGCGGCAGGTCCCCGGGGCAAAGGTCGCGCTGCAGCACAACCTGGGCCTCGGCGGGGCCGCGGTGGTGACGCTGTACGGCATGGGCTTCCCGGGACACCGCAGGTGAGGCACCGGCACCGGCCCGCCCGGGGAGCAGTGCGGCTGCCCCTGCCGCGGCTGGGTCCGGAGGAGACAGCGGGACCCTGCAGGGTGCTCCTCCTTCACACGGCAGAGAGAGAGCGCTCCTGAGGGCTTCAGCACGGAGAAGAGAAGGCTCCTGAAGGGGAGGCCTTAGAGCAGCTCCCAGTGCAGAAAGGGGCCTACAGAAATCTGGAGAGGGGCTTTGGACAAGGGCCTGTAGGGACAGGACAAGGGGGAATGGCTTTAACCTGCCAGAGGGGAGACTGAGATGAGCTCTTAGGCAGAAGCTCTTCCCTGTGAGGGTGCTGAGGCGCTGGCACAGAGTGCCCAGAGAAGCTGTGGCTGCCCCATCCCTGGCAGTGTTCAAGGCCAGGTTGGACACAGGGGCTTGGAGCAAGCTGCTCTAGTGGAAGGTGTCCCTGCCTGTGGCAGAGGGGTGGAACTGGATGAGCTTTAAGGTCCCTTCCGACACAAACCAGTCTGGGATTCTATTCTAAAATTGGAAACTTCAGCAGTGGGTTCAGTGGTGGTGTCTAAGGTCACTTTGTGCTGACCGTGCTCCCATATCTTTGCATTTCAAAATGTGTTATTTTTAGTGTTATCATTTGCCTCTGTGCAAGGAAGAGATTGCACTGTAAACTGGAACTTGCTCAGCGATTGGAACTGTTTGGTACCTGCAGCACCACAGGTGTATACAAGAGATTGTAACTTACGCAGTGTCTGTTCTTGCAATGTGGGTTCTAAATTACTGCAAAGAGCAGACTGGCCCATAGGAATGGCTCACATGAGTTCCTGTAAGGAAGGGTCTAATGTTTGGAGAAAAAAAAAGCTAACAAAAAACCCATCCAAGAACAAACCAGGCCACATTAAAATGATTTAATTGAAACTAAGGACTTGCCAGAAAAGGCCAGACATCCATGGGAATAGACATACCCACTGTTTTCACTGCTACAATTGTTACTGGTTTGGTTTCATGAAGACTTGTTTTCAGCTCTGTATTGCATTGGTGTTCAAAGCACTCAGACATGCTGCTCCTTCCATCCTGGCTAAAGAATTTGCACTTGCCAAGTAGCACACTTCAGAGTGAGAGGAGAATGCTGCTATGAAGCTGTCTTGCATTCTGCTCTAGTTCTGGCCAGGAGAGACTGAGAGAAGATACTTCAGAATTGTAAATGCACCAAAATTTCAGGAGATGCTCTTTTAGTACACAGGTCCCTTTATGTTTTTACTTGGAACTTCGATTAGAAAGATTGAGCCATTCTTTGTGGGTATTATGGTTTTAGTTTTAAAGCTTGATGCCAATACTTTATATTTGCTCCAAAAATGTATCAGGTATTGGACTTCCAGATAGAAATATTCCCCTCCCAACTCAGGTTTCTAATGTCTGCTTTAGCTAGGCCTGTACCATTCATGGGAGGTGACAATGTAACCTTTGGATTAGGTAATGAGAAAACCAGTTGAACTTTGAAGGGCTGTAGCAGTGATTTTCTACAGTACAGTGTCAGTTGTAGCAATTCTATCACTTTTACGAGGGCAGACCACATGAGAAAATGTGTGATACATGATTCTCATAGGTTCCCTTCAAACATGCTTGCAAAACTTGGCAGTGGGAGTTGGTGCAGTTTCAAATGACAGAGCAAAAGATTTCTATAGGGAATATACTGCTTTCCATTGCTTTGAGCATTGTCTTACAAAATATTGTATGGAACAGGGAATCTGTTGCTCTTTGTGTACTGTTAACCTTGAGGTCCTACTAGAAGTAGTGCCTTCCTATCAGGAAAAGCTTTGCATGTATAGATAATACTTCTGAAAGAACTTAAAGTCTCGTTTACTACAGCTCACTTCACCCTCATCAGTATGGAGATATTTTAAGAGTCTTTCTTAGGCACACCTCAAATCTCAGCAATACTAGTTTGATCTTGCATTAGAGAAGCTTAAAACCTTTTAGTTCTCCCAAGGGCTTGGTGTGCAGGAGGCACCTGACACAAGGATTTGCACTAATATATATAAATCAGACTTTGGAACGAAACAGTGTGGTTGATCTCTCCTGACACTGCTTATGTAATTGAGTGATGATGTGTATTGTGTAAGTAAGGCAAAGGTGGTGGCATTTCATGAATGTTAATGAAGATGCTTCATGCCATGTTTTCTACAGCAATGCACAGTCCCATCTTAATCACTGGATTAACAGCTACCTTGTAATTAGTGACTTTAGTAATAGCTGCTAAGAATGTACATCAAGGTAAATGATAGCAGGACGATTCGGTTTTGGATTAATCTTTGAAACAGTTCTTTTTTTGACACATTACAGCTTCACATCCTGTTAGTACAGCCTTGGTTTATTAGCAAAATGATGTGCCTTCTTCAGATGAGACAGTCACTACTACTGCTACCCTTGCATACCTCTACGGAGTAGTGTTAGGACCACACAAGTTGTAGCAACATTGCTTAAGCGATTCTGTCCCTGTGACAGTATCAGACCTGACCACAGCTTTGAACTGTGCTGCCAGGAGATAGTAATATCTGTAAGCTTGTTTTTCCTGCTGCTTGAATTGCCATTTCTTTGGGCATATCTATACTTCATCTTTGGGAGCCTCTGTGGAAATGAAGAATTAGGTTTCATGCTGTTCATTCAGGCCACGTAGGGTTACTGCTCCAGAGAATCAGGAATAATGCATAGAACCGCTTGTGACAGTTGAGACCCACTTGAATTGGGAAGGAAAAGATTTGTTTTGCCAAAAAAAAAGAAGTATTTTTCTGAGATGGTGCATGTGCTGCTCTCCCCTCACACCAGCTGTGACAGTAGTGTTTGCTACTTTATCTTAAGATGGATGATCTGCTATCATAAGATTAGTGTCATGTCCATACATGCAAAGACATGTAGGTACTTCAGGTGGTTGTCATTCAGACTATCAAGCCCATCAGATAGTAAGCTTCATGTAGATGTCATATATTTGCTCTGTCCTGCTGAAGTGTTTTGGTGTGGCTGTTCTCACCGGTGTGAGAGGTCTCTCCATGATAATTTGAATATGCAGAAAATGTGATTAAAGGGATATAAAAGACTGGGCTTCTCATTGCAGCACCGGCCGTATTGAGGCTGTGCCTCTCAGCGCAGAAGTGGATGGATTTAAGTCACATTTGGTCTTCAAAGAGATTGAAAAGAAGCTCGAAGAGGTATTTGACTACTTCTTTTACCTGTTGTAATTTATGACAGGACATGTGTGAAGCCTCATGGATATATAGTATCATCAATCACTTCCTCAGTACTCCTTACTGAAACTAATGTTACAGCTGTGCCAGAAATCTTTCTATGCCGTGCCATGATTTAAAAACATCTTTTTTTCAGCCAGTTCCTACCTGCATAAGTGTATTTCAGAAAAGGCAAGTTGGGATTGTACATGAGGAGCTTGTAGCTAAATGAGGAAATCTATAAAGTTTATACTTGGTCTTTGTTGCTTGCTTTGTAAGTGTGGTTAGCGGAAGAAATCACTTTTTGTCAGGCTTGCATCAAGACAAGACTGTTAGGACACTGGTCATTCTTCTTAGTTGATAGATTTTAATATACATACCTGCATAGTCATAGTTTGTGGGGTTCTGTTTTGGTATTTTTGGGTGTCTTTATTTTTTAGTAAATTGTTTAAATGAAGCCTGATAGAGGGAAATGGGGATTTCCTTTTATTGGAAAGGTTAAAGGGTTTTAGATTCATTTCATTCAAACTATGTGAAAGTTATTTTGAAGTAAATGAATGGTTCACACATTACATGGTCATTCCAGGAAGGAGAGCAGTTTGTCAAGAAAATTGGTGGAGTCTTTGCCTTCAAAATAAAAGATGGTCCTGATGGGAAAGAAGCAACTTGGATAGTAGATGTGAAAAATGGCAAAGGCTCCGTAGCAGTTAATTCAGGTGAGTGCTATTTTAGTATGTCATTGCAGAAAACACATCAGACTAATGACAAGAATATAAATTCATACCCTGTTTAAGCTGTAGTGACCTTGAGCAAAAGTGGTATAGAGCTGCCTTGACTCTAAACTTAGCTACCTTCGCTTTAATCTTTTCTTATTACTGACATTTCTAATCCATGATGTTTGGACCAAGAACGAAACATCTTTAAATTCTGTCTATGTAACTGCATGTTTTCTTAGAAGCTCCGGACAGATCTGTCAGATGACTCTTACAGGAATAACAATTAAAAAAAACCCTAATGAAATCATTCAGATCTCAGGGCTTTTTTTGTCCTCACCTTTTAAATTTGGGCCAGAAATGTAATTTGTTGGAGACACTGGTAGAATCAGAGAATAGTTAGGGTTGGGAAGGACCTTAAGATCATCCAGTTCCAAACCCCTGCCATGGGCAGGGACACCTCACACTAAACCATCTCACCCAAGGCCTCATCCAACCTGGCCTTGAACACTGCCAGGGATGGAGCATTCACAGCTTCCCTGGGCAACCCATTCCAGTGCCTCACCACCCTTACAGTAAAGAACTTCTTCCTTATATCCAATCTAAACTTCCCCTGTTTAAGTTTTAACCCGTTACCACTTGTTCTATTGCTGCAGTCCCTAATGAAGAGTCCCTCTCCATCATCCCTATAGCTCCCCTTCAGATACTGGAAGTCTTCTATGAGGTCTCCACGCAGCCTTCTCTTCTCCAGGCTGAACAGCCCCAACTTTCTCAGCCTGTCTTCATACGGGAGGTGCTCCAGTCCCCCCATCATCCTCATCGCCCTCCTCTGGACTTGTTCCAACAGTTCCATGTCCTTTTTGTGTTGAGGACACCAGAACTGTACAGAATACTCCCAAGTGAGCAGTAGGCCATAAGCTGGTCTATCTCATCAAGTTACTTCTCTGCAGCGATAAAACTTGACTGATTTCAGTCCTGTAACAGCTGATAAAAACTTCAAGTCCCATTAGAAAAAAGAAGGCAGGCATAAATAAGACACAGACTGGTGGTGGTGGGGAACCTCATAAAATTCTTGGATTTTATATAATCCTTGGAAACAAAGGATTGTACTTCTTTTTTATTGGTTTGTCTCACTTCTGTAGTTACGCATCCTAGTGATATATAAAAAGCCAAAGACAATAGTTGTCAGAATTTCATATATCCATGGACCTGGATCTTAAAGCTTTTAATTAAAAACATGACAGAGGGTTTGATTTGGAATTCATTGATCTAAGTTACTACAAAAAGAAAAGCACCTTTTTCTGTTACATGGACATTTTACCAAAGAGTCAATTTTCATAATAAGATGAACATATGAAAATATGCATGCAGGTTTCAGCCCTTTCGTATATACATCAGCATTTCTGTTGGAGCTTATGAGGAGAAGTTTTCAGCTTATTTCTAATAAGACCCTAAAAACTTTTGTGTTAATTCAAATGAGTGCTTTTAGAATGCACATGTTGCTCCCATGGAAGGAGAGGGCAGGAAATGCCAGAAATGTCAGTGATGAGTATCTTCAGAGAGCATCACAGGGGAAAACACATCTCTTTGAGTTGAAATACTAGCAAATTTAGACAATTGCCAATGCGTGCAGTTAACATTCTGTCTGATTACAAGTAGATTATTATTTCTTTACAAGGAATACATTTACTTAGCACACTTCAGAAAGGTCTGTCTTCAGTATTGGGGTGTAGCACCTTGTCTGTGCTACAGGGTGGCACAGATGCCTCTTGGCTATCTCTTGCTGATCTTGTGAGCTCTTGCTGATACTTCTGTAATGGCTGCTATTTGTATTTACTTGTGGTACCATTTTGCTAACTTGTAGTATCAACAGATGTTTCATAGAGTTGCAGCCTCTGTTGCTGTTTTATCTCACAGTTTAAATCTTCATAGTCAACTCTGTCTTACAGATAAGAAGGCGGATTGTACAATTACAATGGCAGACACTGATCTGTTAGCCCTCATGACTGGCAAAATGAATCCTCAGACAGTAAGTATAGTGAAGATGAGAAGAGGTCTGACTTGTTTGTTTTGGCTGTGTTTTAGTTGAAATCATTTGAATAAATCCCCCCTCCAAAACTGCCATGGCAGACTTGAAGAATGATAATTCTTGACTTCCCCTGAACAATTTGGCCAAAGTAAGATTAATCAAGAAAGACAGTATCTACTCTCTTGAAGAGGTACACATTATCTCAGACATCATATAGGTAATCCAAAAGGGGATATTATTATTGCTTGGTTTGCAGAGGAGAGGGTAAAACTGCTGTTTGCAGTGTGACTTAAGAAAGGAAGAACACTGGCCCTCTGTTTGAAGGGCTTTACAGTCATAATTGGCATTAGTGTAAGGAGTTATCGGGATGCTGAAAACCAGAAATCGAGGTGAGCATCCACTGAATGTCTGTGATTATTTGGTTGGGATTTTTTGTTCATCCGTGTGTCCAAAGCAGCCATAGTGCACAAGTAAACCAGATGTTTGTGTTAATTTTAAGTTGCTGTTCTGTACTTCTAAATTTGAAGTGCTTGGGGTAACATTCTTTTAAGTTTTTGGTCTGGTAATAACAGGAACTGACTTGTGTCTAGGAGAAATTGGAAGGTAAAGCACATTACAGAGGTGTTGTAATGTACATATAGGAAACTGGGAAGCAATTGCAAATTACATCTCCAGTTTGGATATTCTAGTGTGTGCAGTTCATCTTTTTACAAAGTCTGGATGAAAAACCACACATCTTTAGTGTGTGCTTCACAGACTAGATTAGCAAAATTGAGTTAATCAGTAACAGACACAGCAATGGCTGGGGGGGGATTTGAGTAACAAATGATTTGTGGCATCTACTGTGCACTTACTGCTTTATTGCCTTCAACTGAAGTAGTGAGCTTTCATTCTATGAACTGTCATCACTGAAAAACTGGGTATTCTGCCCTGCTTTGTATACACATCCATCATTGTGATAATCCAAGACACAAGCAATGCCAAGCTCATTCTCTTTAAGTGTCACAAATATAATAAGCATACAGCTTCCTCAGTTTACTATTTTATTGTCTAATGTCAGAAGATACATTTCTTGGTGAATGCTGGTGTCTGCTGGAACTGTTGGAGTTACTGAACTCAGGCCAGGACCTGCACACACATAATAGCCTATAACTATGGAGGGTGCATTTGAGGTAATATGTAATATTGCATTTCATTTCATCGAATCTCTTTCTTTTTAGGCATTCTTTCAAGGCAAATTGAAGATCTCTGGGAACATGGGCATGGCAATGAAACTTCAGAATCTACAGCTTCAGCCAGGCAAAGCTAAACTTTGAGCTCCTTAGAGAAAACAGTTAGTACTTGATATTCTTCACAATGAAAAGTAGAATGAAACTAGGCATTATCAATAACATGGTGCAGGCTGGGTTTGATTGGACCTCTCTCATCTAAATTATGTGGTTAGAGACCTTAATTCTCTTAATATATTCCATCAGTTTCTCTATGGCAAAGAGTTTTAAGCTAAGCTTGAGGCACTAACTCTTACAAATGGTATATGGTGGGTATTTGTGACAATTCTGTTTTAATCAATATGGAAAGAGCTGAATGAGGCTGCTTTACTGTTCAGCTTAGTTGGGAAGAGAGGGAGGAAGGTGATAGTTTGACATATCAGTTAACATTAGTTGCATATTTTTGAAGCTGTAATAATGCTTTCAGACTTCCATTCTAGCAAATTTGTTGCTGCTTAAATTAACGTGGTCTTGTACAGGGGATCTGTAACAGCATTTTTTTTAGAACAGGCTTTAGGAATTTGCTATAAAATCCTTTTCTTATTACTTCTTTGGAATTAAAAAAAGAAACAAAATAGCCAGAAGTAAGGAGGAGCTAGAGTGCTGCGTTGAGATTCACGGGATTGTAGTACCTTTCACCTTGGACAAAATATCAGGTTTGCCAGGAGAGCAGAGAGGGGGTATAACCAGTGTTTTACCTGCTTCCTCCTGAGAAAATCTGGTGTTGATCATTATGAAATGTAACAGCTTTAAGTTCTGTTTTGGGAAAATGTATTCTGGTTGGAGGTTTAATAGAAAATTAAATATACTTTTACTGTTCTTCTGTGTGTCTCTTCCTCAGATTTGTAAACATGGATTTCATGTTAATGTACTGAATTGACTGTTCTACACAGGTTGTCATGAAGGGTACCTACAGTCATCTGTTTTTAACTCCTTGGACATTGCTAGTAGATAAGCTGACGTCTCGGTCCAGAATATACACCTCACATCCTCACACATGTGGGCCATGACTGAGGAGCTTGGGCATAAATTTCCTCTTCCCTGGTTTAACTAAAATCATAATAAAATGAGCTAATTCAGGTTAATCATTCTGCTTACCTAGTGTGAGTGCTTAACAGATTGCTGAGCAGTAAGAATGGGTGCACTGAATCAGGCCAAAATCAGGCTAGCCCACTGTATGTTCTGACCTTTGATACATTGGAAGGAATAATAACATGGCCCAAACATCTGTTTATCCCGAATAATTTCCTAGCTGCAGGTGGTTTAATTTTCTTTTCCAGCTCACAAATGTGCACTGTGGTAGGTCTGCATCTAAACTTCTTGGTGGATGGTCTTTCATGCATTTGTCCAGTCCCTTTTGGAATCCTCAACAGCATTTTGACCATAGGTCAGGAATTGCTGTAGTTTACCTACATGTCATGTAGAATTAAATTTACTCCTTTTCATCTTACCCATTGCAGTTTTGGTTTACACCTCCTAGTTGCCTTTTTTGTTGGTTTGTTTTTTACTGGAAGAAACATTAAACAGCTTCAAAGCACTTCTGGTGTTTATAGCCTTGCCTGATCACTTCCAGGCTTCACAGCTTGGAAGAGGACATTCTGTTTAACCGTGTCACATGGGGATGACCTTTTGGCCATCCATGTATCCTTCCTCTATGCTGCATACCAATTGTCCTGTTGAAAGGCTTTCAGGATGCAAGAGCATTTTCAGGTTTTACTTTCCTTTCCCCAGTTGCTTTTCTGACCCCTGTTAGCTTTGAGCTGATGTTTCTTTACGTTTCTTTCATACTAACTCAGTGCTTATTTTCGCACAGTGAAGCTGAAAGTTGTTCTGTGTGCATTGCTTTATTTATACTGAATTTCAACTGCCCGTTTTCCTGCCCAGGCACTCACTGTTCAGACCTGCCTGCACCTCTTGTACTCAGCCCCGGTCTTTAATATCTGGATGAATCAACTTTCATCACCCTCTTTTCCAATAGCACAGATGTGGCCTGCCTTCACTTCTTAAAATACAGTCTGATATTAACCAGGTTTCCTCTTGTGTACTTGTTTATTGACTTACCCAAAGGGTTGTAGTAGATGGGAGTCCTGTCTCTCAAATGAAAGCAGTGTTAGCTCTGTAGAGAGCTAAACCAAGGTTTGCTAATGTATCCACTGCTTTTTCCTAAAGTCTTGCCATTTGGCTTGTGGGCTAAAAGAAAGGGGAATCACAGGATTGCAGAAGTAATTACATACTGAAAGCAATTTGTTCCTCTGCACAAAGTTACAGATACACCCTTTCATTAGCAAGCTTTGTCCTCCTGAATCACTAATACTAGCAGGAGAGCTTTAGTGATGTCTGTTATGCAGCTCAGAACATGCCTTTCCCAAGGATTTTGAATACAGACACGTTTTTGTTGCTGTTTAATTAAAGAAGCAGATGAATTCTGAAGTGCAAACAGGCTGACACAGATCACAGACCATACCCACAGAAGTTTAAGTAAGATGTGCTCACCTGCAGATTGAGATCAGTTTCTAAGGGGGAGGAAAGCTCGCACAGGAATATTGAAAACCAACCAAGCAAGGGAAAAAAAACAACCCACTGCAAAAATGTCTTTGGAGTTTGCTACCAAGGGAAAGAATACCCAAGTGTGAAGCCCAGCCTTCAAAGGAATCCCTGGGTTTTCACAGGCCCAGGACTTTCAGGTTTGGGCACTTGCAGATACCATGTCATTATAACAGGAGAATCCCAGATTAAATCTAGATGTTTATTTTGCTTGTTGATCGTAGCTAGAGGAGGTACTGCAGACGTTTCACAGCCTGTTTGTATGCTTGGGAGTAAGAGAACTTGCCAGTTTTGTATTTCTCCTGCAGTGCTTAAGAAGATGGAGTAAAGGACAAAGTCTTCTATTTACCCTATGTGCCAGTCAATGTCTCAACGCATCTGTCTTGTGCTGCTTCTTCACTTTCAGCACCTTCTCTGTGTCATAACTTACTGAGTATTTTTAAAAGGTAACACTTTTTCTACTTCTCCTTCTTCCAGCAGTGAGGTGTGTGTGCAGGGGGTGTCTTTTCTAAAAACCCCAGTCCTTCAATTTACATTTGTATGTCTTAGAATCTGGTAACTGAATAAATTCCACAGTGGGCAGAAATAATTTGCCCTGCTCATCATGACGAGAAAGGGGGCAAAGCTCTGTGATACAGCGCAGATTGTGACATTAAGCTCTCTTACTTACTTTTTGCATTACTCTAATACAGGATTACCTCAGTTTGCACCATTTTAGAAGTCTCCTTATCGAAGTTTTCTTCCTCAACCCATTATGCTCTCTTGACCAAGCAGCATTAAGCACCTCTTCTCCAGCTAAAATCCTCGGTAACTTTAGATCAGCCTTTCTTACAAAGTTTATGTTACTGCAGTTCTTTTATATTAACTTGTTTCCTTGAGGGCAGAATTAAAGGCAGCCAGAGCTACCAAGAGGTGCCCAATCACTGAACATACAAGAGTTTAAATTTCTGATTTCAAAGGCTTTGCATAAAGAAAAAAAACCCTAATCCTCTAGGCAGAGGGTTCAGTGCTCTCAAACTCCAAGCTCACATGAGAGGAAACTTCAGCTTTAGACATTAAAATGCTCCGGAGGGTTGTTCTTCCCTTCATGGACTCTGGTGAATCCCCTTTGCAGCTATTGGTTTTGTTGGGGTGTTTTCATCAGCTGTGATAAATGCGTTAATCATTTGACAGGCAGAGATGATGCCAGATTGGCACCACTATCTTATCTTTACTTCCTTTTATAAAGTCTTGTTATGTTTTCAGATAGGGATTTTCATAACGAAGGAAAACATAAACCATGTTTCACTGCTGTAAGAGAAGCAACTTTGTCAGAGTTGGAGCCAGTGAGCAGAGTGGTGCCTGACTCAGCAGATCTGGCTTGCAGGAAATTGGGGGAATGCTTTGGTTTGGGAACACAGATTTTACTTTCCAACTTTTACCTGAGTTTGTGTTTCACTCCTGCTGCTTTGCCTAGTCAGGAGTAGGTACAGTGCATACATTACACTTCCACATTGAAGCAGTATGTATTTTCAGAGGTGATCACTGCTTTTCTTACAATTAATTTGAGTCTTTAGAAGAAAAGCTGAGGGTCAGGACATGGCTCCTTTCCTTACAAAAGTGGGCTGCTTCAGGAAACCTCAGTTCCTGTGTTGATCAGGATAACGAATAGGGATTTGTTACAGAATTCTGAATTTGGCATATTTGCAGGAGAGCTCTCTGTAGGTAGATGAGGGCATGTGGAGGAACTTGATAGAGGGGAGATATAGCATAAATACTGAGAAGAGATTCTTCCCTGTGAGGGTGCTGAGGCACTGGCACAGGGTGCCCAGAGAAGCTGTGGCTGCCCCATCCCTGGCAGTGTTCAAGGCCAGGTTGGACACAGGGGCTTGGATCAACCTGGTCTAGTGGAAGGAGTCCCTGCCCATGGCAGGGGGTTGGAACTGGATGAGCTTTAAGGTCCCTTCCAACCCAAACCAGTCTGGGATATCCATGGGCAGATGAGGCAGTTTAGGGGGCAGGCAGTTACTGCAGCTGTATGTTGTATGGACTGACCTTACCTGCACTAACTTCGTGGGGGTTTGTGACTGCAGGTGTTAGAGGGGGAATGGAGGATCTGGCAGGTGGCTCTGGTGGCTTTAGTTGTGTAAAGCAAGTCTTCCACGTACAAGGTGATCTGGGATCCCACTGGTAAGCAGCAGAGAGAGATCAGTTTCCTCAAGGGAGGAGATTGTGAACAGCTGAGCATGGTTTGTGGCAGCTGGGTTAAGGAGCTATTCTTCTGGGTGACAGACCCTTTTAGGATGCAGGAGAATGGGACAAAGGGACTTCACAACATCTTCCCTCTGACAATAGAAGAAATCTGCATTCATCACAAGGCTGGATTTGTCCATTTCCCATGTGTCCAATTCATCTGAGGTCAGTTTAAACTGTTACCTCCTTGGAACAGGAAATAACATTGCTTCCTGTTTTACAGAGCACTGAGCTGGATGTCAGCTCTCATTAAACAGAAAAGAGTAAGAATGCAATTAGCCTGGTGGATAAAAGGCAGGAAAAAAAAACCCTGAACTGTGAAAAATCAATACTCGAGGAAGCAAACCACATGTGGAGAACAAATGCTGGGAAAAAAACCCAACTGTTTGGAACAAACTCCTTTATTACTTAAACAAACAGCAGCATAATTGGTTGGAGTGACAGTGTGAGCTGTCTGTACCCTGTATCTGTGAGAAGAGCTCACTGCTGACTTAAAAGCAGATGGCTTTATGTGGCCCTGGGTGGGTTCTCTGGGAAATATTAGTTATATTCTCTGATTCAGGAATAGAAATAGCCTAATAACGCTGCAGCAGGCTGAAACGAACATGAGGAGTATAAAACAAGTACAAAATATGCTGTGTCTGTATCACATATTTCAGATAGATTAAAAGCAGCCATGAATTTTCATTTCTTATTTTGTAATAGTACATATCCTCTGGGAGAACAGACATCTTAAAGTTCATTTGGATCAAGACACAGATGCCAATAGGCTCATGGCCAGGGTCTGTTGTGCATTCTTGAGTTTGAAAAATACTTCCTTTCCTGCTTTGGAGACAAAAATCCCTTTTATTCTTTGTGTTTGGATTATTCATTTTCTGAAGCAAATGATGGCAAGTTACTAAAAAGAATGTTAATGGGCTTTTTTCTCTTTTCACATAAAGGCAGTGAAAGTATCACAGTATCAGCGCATAGCAGTGGGTGCCTCAGGAATGCCAGTATTTCTGTAGAGTCTTATTATAAATCAGGTAAATAAAGTAAAAGAACAATGTATACCTTTTAAGATGCAACTAAAACTCTCCTGAATGCCTCATGCCTCACTCATCACAAGTGAGCCAATGCCTGCAGAACTGTTTTTGGAGCTCATGCTTCATCCATCTACTTACAGCTTCTGTTCTCTGCCATGTTGTTGCTTGACTGGGCTATCTGTTACCTGAGTTTATGGTATCACATCAAATTTAGCCTATAATGTCTTTAGGACAGTGACAGTAGTTGCAGAGTCAGAGCTGAGCAGGTCGCATGAGTTTGAGCTGCCTCTCTGCTGTCCTGATACCCTGTGGTTCCAGGGCAAGTGCAGCCTTGGTGTAACTTAGATAAGTAATCCAGCTTTCTCAGTTACAGGAGTGGAATACAGTGTACTGCATACTACAGCTTGGCCTTGGACATGTCCTTATGCTGAGGTCTGCAAGAGCATCTTGTAAAAAGAAGAGCTCAAGTAGTCAAGTCTGGCCTTTATCACCGGCTTTATTCTGATGGAGCCAGAGCAGAAGGTTGATTCTTGCACAGTGCTCTGTGTGCCAAGCCCATTGTGAAAATACCATGGCACATGCTGTCTGCTGTAGCTGCCAGTTGTTCACTGGAGTAGCCAGCAGTTGTTTGGTCAAGGACCTGTTTCTCTGCCATCTATGTGATCAGAGGAAGTGATCATGCCAAAGTTTAAGCTTTGTCTTGAGTCTTCAGTTTTTAAACCTGAAAATGTTTCTTCATTTAGGCTGGAACCACCACTCAACTCACACCCATCAGCAGGGAACATGCAAGAGTACAAAGACTGGAGTTTGGCTGGGAATGGTTCCTGCAACTAATTCTATGTTGTGAGTCTTGCAGTGGAAGTTCTTTCCTCTGAAAGCATCAGAAAGCTCTAGTGCAGAAACCACAGGAACACTGGTTGCCTGAGTCCTTAGTGGTGGGTCAGAATACTGTTAGATAGATTTGGCTCCAGCTCTGGTTTTCCTGGGAATTTGTGCAGGTTCTAATGATGGAAATGCAGCACTGGGCCTGGATGACAGCAGATTGTGAGTTTGGGATATGTTGATGTAAGAGGGTAAGATGTGGAGGAAGTGGAAGCTTGGGAAAAAACCAGACTATATAGGTAATCTGTAGCACAGTGTAAGGATGTGAGTGTTACCTTTGCATGCGGGGCACCTGGTCACTGGCTTTGTCCCGCTGGATAATCCTGGGTTGGTTGTGCTGCTTGTGTGCCTCTTGTTTCCCCACTAAAGGAGGCATAACGCCCCTCTTTATATTGTCCTGTAGTACATCCAGATGGTATGTGACAGCCTAGGAGTGTACTTACACACCAAAACCACAGGTAAAAACGCAGTTTTGGGGAAGGGTGAACCTCTCGTCCTCTCCTGTGGGCTGCTCTGACATCAGTAGAAAGCCAGGTCTTCCTTCTGTCTGTCTGCAGACTGGGGTACAGAGGGGTGGTCCCCCAACATCAGCACACAGTTTTTCTTCTGTCTGAATACACTGTAAATGTTGTGGTGTGGACTCTGTAGTACAGAAATGGGAGCAGGCAAACGCATCCTGGGGCTCTGAATCACGAAGGGAAAGCAGGCAGCTCTGGTTTGTTATTATTTTTGTTTTAGTAAAAACATACTTCCCACAGCAACTTTTAAAACTTCCACGTGGCACAGAAGGGGATCAGTTCCAGTTGATATGAGCCTGGATGAAGAGAGGGAGGAAATAACTTGATTGCTTTAGACTTCAGTTCAGCTGGAGTCGAGAGGAAAGAATCAGTGTCCCTTTATTTGGAATTCAGCAAGGAGGTCGTGTTCCTGGTGAGGACAGATCCTCTGCCTGTCTTCTGGAGGTACTGTATGGAGCGCTGCGGGGCAGGCACAAAGCAGGTGGCTTTAGATTTAAAACAGCAACTCTGCTGTTGGTGATAAAAAGCTGTGTTGCTTTCTTGGAAGTATTGCCGCACTTGGAGCATACTGTGTTATAACAGCATGTTCCTCTCTCTTTTTTTTTGTGCCAAAAAAAGGAGAAATAAGAAATGTGAGGCTTCTGGGCTAAACACGACCAGGGCTGGTGTGTGTGTGTATGTATGTGTAGTGGAGGGTTGTTTTGATGTTTAGCGCTGTAATATGGGGCTTAGAAGATAAAGAGATTGGGTAGATGGGGGTGTTATGTCAAACTGGGGGACTTTGCCTCTAAGACATTTGTAGTTTCAGCCTATCTATCTCTGGTCCTTAAAGATCAGTTGGTGGGTTGAAAACCAGGGGGAGTTAAAGGGGAGGGAGATGAAATGCAGGAAAAACTGCTGATCTGTCTGTTCCTGGCTAATTTGGACCAGACCCTCAGGGAATGGGAGGACATTCCCACCTGGAATTCAGATTTTGTGTTGAATATGGCTAAAATTAAGCATCTAGTAACAGAGAGAACAGCTCTGGTATCCTGCAAGGCAGTGCTAAAGCACACGCCGTCTGTGCTGCTCTGCTGTCAATTCCAGCATGCTTTCTTCTGGCATCTCTCCTTGATCTTACAAACTGTGTTGACAAAAAGCAATGGGAGATTGTTTCTTCCCCAAGTCTTTATATTCAGAGTATAGCTGCTTCCTCTTTCCTACTCACATTTTCCCATATGGTGACTTTGGAAAATTCCTCTCCGATTTCGTTGGGAAGTGCAGGAAACTCTCGTTGGTAGAGGGTTGCCTGTTACTCTCTCTTAATTCTGCTGCTCACATCTGGAAAGGATCTGGCTTGGAAAGGGGAGACTCGCTCTGAGCTCAGCGCATGTAACTGACATGGCATGAGCCGCGGGAGCCTGTGGGGGCAAGAGAAATGTTCTTCTCCATTCATCTGATTTCTGACAGCAAAGGTGAGTTTTTCAGCCCTTTATTTGTTCTTTTACAAGCTGTATTGTCAGACAACACCCAGCAGCCTGCCTTCCAGCTGCAGCTTTTAGAAAGGATATTCCATATGAGTTACAAACTCACTTAACCCGTTGATTTTGGAGGAGAGGATGGTTTTGCATCTCTGTGTGTGTCCTGAGAGAATAGGCTTGGAGAATAGTACAGAGATGAGATACTTTGGGCATGATTTTGTGGTTTATTGAGGTAACTGTGATCACTGAAAGCATAAGTAACTCCTGAAACTTCAGCTTACTTCTTGAGACACTGCCTTCTGTAGCACTCTGCCTCTGGTGCTGTGTGGCAGCAAAGTGCAGGAATCAGTACTGGTTCTGTCTAGGCTCAGAAAGATGCAACCTCTGAGGTCGTTTCAGTGCAGCTTCTGTCCTTGGGTGGAAGGACCTGATCCAAACCCCACTGACAGCAAGGGAAGAGGGCTGATTCTTTCATTCAGGTGGGTTTTGAGCTACATCTTTAGTAAGGCTTCTTAAATAAGGCTTTGGATCAGGCCCATGGGAATGATCTGAAATGGAGGGAGTTACTTCAGGCTTTCTTTGAACTAAAAGAAAATCAGAATTGTGCCTGACTTTACTGCCTGCACTCCAGATGCAAGCAGATGTTTCTGCATCCAGAGTGTCTCCCTGTGGCACCGGAGCAGCATGCACTTCAAAGGCATTGTAGCAGAAGCATGCATATTAATGACAGGGGGGTGAGATTGCCTCAGAAATCTTACTGTGCCATAGACACAGTATTTCATGTTAATTTTTTAACATCTTTTCACCTCTATGAGTGGAAAAGTCAGGTTGTTGAGCCAAATACCAACCATGATGTAACTATGCTGTGGGAACAGCATTGGTGTTTGTGGGAGGGCTGGTTGTGACCTGCATGTAAAAAGGGGTCCTTTCTTTAGTTTCGTTTGTAAGTATCTGTAAGGGTAAACTGATATGTATAAAAAATACTCTGTTAGAAATGTGATAGATTGTACTTTCTGAGATTATTTCCTCTAAGGTTTCTGAGATTAGGTCACCAAATAGTAATGATTTTCCTAATCCACTGTTGGCATACTCATATGGCCAATTTTGATCTCACTATTAATATCTAGCTGCTATATAAGGAACACCATCTGATCTCTGGAATGTTTTATAAAGGAGATTAATTTCATTATAATCAGCCGGAGGCTGTGGAATAGTGGAGTGGGGGAGAAGGGATCAAGCAAGCAGTGTTAAATGCTTAAAATCACTCAGCATGCTGGTAGCAAATACCAGGACCAAAGCAAAACCATCCATGAATCAGGATGCTCTGTCCTGTAGTGCCACCTTCTCCATTTCTTCAAGTATAAGGCAGTGTTTAAAGAAGTTACTTAAGATGTTCATGACTGTGACTGAGAGCAGGGTGTCTCCAGTGCTTCCCAAGCACCCACAGTCTTTGCACAGCTGCAGCTGGTGCAAAGCAGCAAAGCCCTGTGGATGTGAATGGAGACGTGCTAGTTCTGATACAGCCAGTGTGGCTCTGGCAGGTTCTTGTTTCTGATGCAAAGCAGGAACCTGGGCTGGCAGAGATGAGCAGAGTACTTACTTCATAGTAAGGTCATGAATCCATTGTGCTTTTTCACCTTCAACGATAAGACTCTCTCATCACTGTCCAATCCTCCTGTGCAGAATAGCTAAAGGATGTAAGACAAGCCATTACCAGCCCTTACTGCAAATCCTTAAGTATGAAACCTGAGAAGGGCAACAGCGGAGGCCGAGGGGGCTGAACCGGGGCCAGCTGGCCGGTCCTGTAGATATTCAACTTCTGTTTGAGTTATTGTAACCTGCTGCCAGAAAGATAAAAGCTGAACATCAGCCAGGCCTCTAAGGTTCAGATCTGCGCTGTCCAAAATCAATAGGAAGCCCATTTTGTTTTCAGTAGCCATGAGGTTTTGTTATTGTTTGAGGCATGTGAAGCAGCCCTCCTGAGAGGCAGCCTGGCAGCACCGCCAGCGCCTTGTTTACATTCACAAGGAGAGGTCCTTCCCTGCACGACAGTGACATTGCAATGACATTGCACAACCTCCTCCATAAACCTCTGGGATCATTTGGTGTTTCTCAATATAAAAAAGCAGTAAATGACCCGAGGAGTCAGGGATGGTGCACGGATGCTGCCAGGCCCCCAAACCACCTTGAGAGAATCATAGAATGGAGGTTGGAAAAGACCTTTATCGGGTCCAACTTGGACTGCCAAGGCCACCACTAACCCCTGTCACTGAGGGCCTCGTCTACACGGGCTTTGAGAGGACGCGACAGCACTCGGGGGAGCAGGAACCCGGGCTCCCGGTGCCTGCCTGCCTCCCTCCATGCGGGGCTGACCGCGCTGCTCGGTGTCGCTTGCAGGGGCGATGCCGGCCGGCGGCCGGGCGCTGCTGGCGCTGCTGGCTCTGGGCTGCGCCGCCGCCGCCCGCAACGACTTCCCCGAGCGGCGTCCACCCGGCCCTGCCCCGGCCCTAGCCTCAGCCTCAGCCTGTCCCCGAGACTGCGGCTGCACCCAGGAGGGCGTCGTGGACTGCGGCGGCATCGACCTGAAGGAGTTCCCGCTGCTGCTGCCCGAGCTCACCAACCACCTCTCCCTGCAGGTGAGCGAGACTCCCACACGCCGCCCGCCTTCCCGCCCGCCTCAGGGGCCTCTGACCCGAACCCGGCTCCTTCCCGCTTCTTCCGGCAGCTCCTCGGCTTCGAGTGGGAGGCAGGAGGTGCAGCAGGCCCAGCGCTGGTGCTTGACGTGCACATGGTTATCAGCAGTAATTCTCTCCCCACAGATCAAGGGAGGGAGCAAGACAGGAACATTTTCTCCTCCCTCTCTCTCAGCTCCACAAAAGGAATGGTCAAACTCATCATTACTGTTCCTGGTGGTGTGCCTTTGAAAAGGATGGGCTAAATCACTTCATTACTGAGAATTTTTCTGTCAGCACTACATGATGGTAGAAATGTGAACGCCGTGCACCAGTCCAGAGACAGACCCAGCACACAGACGTGGCAAGGAGCAGCTGTGACAGAGTCACAGAGTGGTTTGGGTTGGAAGGGACCTTAAAGCTCATCCAGTTCGTACCCCCTGCCATAGGCAGGGACACCTTCCACTAGAGCAGGGTGCTCCAAGCCCCGTCCAACCTGGCCGAAGCCATCCATCACCACATGGCATTGCCTGGTGCTGTGCTGCCTGCGGCTGGGAGACTAATGCCATGCCTGCAGCAAATGGTTCTGCTGCAGAGACGCCATATCTTGTCAGGATAAGGTCCTGTGCGGATATGGGATTTCAGGTAGAAACAGCAGTCTGTCCTGAGCTTTCAGCAGGTGTCCATGCTCTGTCATTAGTTAAATGATCACTGTGACCAGCGTTTGGGCAGGTGTTCTGTCCCTGCCTGCGCTCTGAGACCCAAGGGTCTGAGCAGGGCCACAGCATGGCAGCCCTATGGGTGTTCCTCTTCCTCTGGGCAGTGGCAGCACTTCCAGGCTTTCCAATACCTCTTTGGCCCTTAACCAACTGCTTTTTGTTTATTGCTCCTATTTGCCAATTCTGTTCAATGGGTGGAATGCAGATTTTGTTCAGAGCTTTCCCTCTGAGTGCAGCATACTCAGAGAAGCTGTAATGTTAGCTGGCACCTTCCTCAGCAGATCTGTCCCAGGCGTGTGCTAGCCATGGCTCCTGCCTCTGCTGCCAAAAGCAAAGAAGCTTTTTGGAGCAGCAGCTGTCACTTTCTGTGTATTGGCTTGGCTTTGTGCATGGTGGGTTCTTAACTGGTCCCTTAGATGCTGAAACATTAGAGTCACTCATTAATGGTCAAAAATGTTAGTCAGCATGTTAATAAAATTCTGATGGCAGTCAACCAGCAAAAGTGAGCGCAGTTTGGCTCTCCTTGCCCATGAACAGTTGTTTTTAAAACAACCCATAAATAACAAGTAATAAACTTGGAAATCCATGGTGCCAACCTTTTAGGGAATGCTCTGCTGCAGCTATGAGGTTTGGCTGTGGCGGATGGATTGCAGGCCTTGCCCGGCACAGTCACGCTGTTTCTGTGCTGCCAGTGCATAAGCCGGATGTTTCTGGTGATGAGCACGAGTTACAAAGCTTGGTTCAGGCCTTCAAACACTGCTGGGTTTGGATGTCTTGGTTTTGACATCTGAGTTTGGCTCACTGTGGAGTGAAGTCTTGACAGTGTTTTGATACAGTGGGTTCATTTCCAGATTTCACTGGAGTTCACAGTCCGGGTTTGTTGGGATCCTTCTTGGATTACTTTGCTGGTGATTAATACTCTCCATTTTCTTAGAATAACCAGATAGAAGAAATCTTTCCAGAAGAGCTTGCTCGGCTTTACAGACTAGAAACGCTCAATTTGCAAAACAACAGGCTAACTTCAAAAGGTAAGCCAGCAGAGCCACAAAGTGGACAGAGCCTCCACAGCACCAACTTATGCAGTGAGGCCAGTGACAGCTGATAAGGAAAGCCAGAGAGTGATGGATTAACTTGGTTGGAGTAGTTAGCTATAAGCCTCACTCTTTTGGCCATCACACAGGTCATGGAGGCACTTTATCATCTGAAACATAATACTCACTGTGTAAGAATGCAGCCTTACTGAACCAGTGGAGAAGACCTGGCAGCAGCACTGTGTACTGCAGCGTGAGGCCTTCTCATCCAGGAAACTCCCCGTGGTCACACAGGCACATCAATGGAGCGCACTGGAGACCCAGAAATGTCTACATGCTGAATGATTTCCTTGTGACTGACCTTGTTTCTTAATCCATTTGTTTGGTTCAGGCTAGTCAGTCAGTGCAGTTTAGTCCAGTTCAGCCCTTGTTGAATTGGTGTAAATACAAGTAATATATATTGCAAATAAGGCAACTTCTGCCCTTATAAAACCATTTTGATTAGTGTAGGGAGGTTTTGCTTGCTAAGTCATAGGCGTATTGGAGAAATTCGCCAAGGGGTTAGTAAGGAAAGCAAAAGAAATGGAGGAATTGGAATAAATATTAAGAGGATATGCAACACAAAAGCTGTAATTGTGGTTAACTTGTGTGTCACCCAGTTACTCTGAATGCTGTTGCTACCCTTATTCCAATAACAGAAAACAGCCTTTATTGACAATGGGGGAATGTTATGCATGGGACCTAAAACATGGCACTTATACATAGCACAAGGAAGGCTGTGCTTAATAGATTCAGACTTTGACATTATCACCTTTGGGGCTTGGTGTTTCTTTCCCAAGCTTGAGTGCAGCCCTGAGTTTCCAGTATGTTTTGACATGGGAAATAGCTTCACCTTTGACTTATGATTATCTAAGTGCCAGGTGAAAATGTTATTTGCAGCCTTCCCATTGTGACAGCAATTGTGCTTGTGTGATCAGCTGGATGTGGAGTGATTCAGCTGAAAATTAATAATTATTGGGGATGATAAGCTCCAAGTTGGATCAGCTGTCTGAGGGGGCTCCTGCATGGCTATCTGGATTGTGGCAGAGCAGAGCAAGAGACAGGTTATGACATGCAGGTGTTATGTTACTTTGGTAACATCATGGTCATAGATCAGACTAATCTGATCATTAAACAACCTCAGATTATGCCCTTCCAAGAAAAAAGATTGGCTGATCCATGAGCAAATGACCAACTTCTCAATAGCATGGTGCTGTGAGCACAGATAATCAGCTTTACAACCGAGTCAGCACAGCTCTGTACCTGACCCTTCCCACTGGGATTGGCCACAGACCAAATTAAAATGCTTCCATAGTTAGGATTTTAATGGTCTTCCATTACTATTAACAGTCTGTGGGGGTTTTTGGTGGTGGTGTTTTGTTTGCTTGTTTTTAATTCTGAAAAACCAAAACAGAGACAACAATAGGTCTTTCAGTGGCACTGAAAAATACTTAAATCTCACATTAAATGTAATATCTGAGAGGGGAAGCTGCCCTCTGGTATCTTCAGTCGGAGAGGCAAGAAGGTGCTGATGTCTCTGATGAGTTATTCCTGTTTTAAAGGGTTGCCAGAGGAAGCATTTGAGCATCTGGAGAACCTGAATTACCTGTACCTGGCAAACAATAAGGTAAGAGACTCACAAGGCTTTCGTAGTTATTTTCTAACCAGGTTCTGAAAGTTAAACAAGCAAGTCTTCAATTCCTTTAATAAATACATGCTACATAAGTACAGTTGTGCTAAAGTGATATTCTAATGCAGGTTCATCTAAGGTCAAGACAATCAGTATGCTAAAAGATTAGAGGGTACACGTGCCAGTGTATTTTGAACACTGATTTATGTGTGCAACTGGTGAAGGGTTTTCCTTGTATGTAGGGAGGTACAGGGAGCCCCTGTATTTATAAATTACCACTGTCTGCAGTAGGTTTTGGTACAGCTGCGTGCAGATGTGGTAGCTGCCTGTATGCATATAATCTGGGCGGTATTCATAGAATCACAGAATGGTTTGGGTTGGAAAGGACCTTAACATCATTCAGTTCCAACCCCCTGCCATGGGCAGGGACGCTTCACACCAGACCATGTCACCCAAGGCTCTGTCCAGCCTGGTCTTGAACACTGCCAGGGATGAAGCATTCACAACTTCTTTGGGCAACCCGTTCCAGTGCCTCACCACCCTCACAGTAAAGAACTTCATCCTTATTTCCAACCTGAACTTCCCCTGTTTTAAGTTTTAACCCATTCCTCGTTGTCCTATTGCTACATAGGTTTCTCATCTCATCAGAGGAGGCTGGTTGAAAGAACCTGTGAGCAAACACATCCCAGTGGTTTAGCCATCAAGATCGATAAAAATCTATCCAGTTTTCCCTGACTGCCATTCTTACTATGTTTGATGGAGAGGGGGGATATCCACATGCAGTGAAACCGTGCAAGTTATGAATTTCTTTTTTTAGCTGCAGTGGTAGAAGCTGGATTTCTGTTTTAATGGAGAAGATCCTAGGTGCTTTTCTATTAATGACCCAAGTTGGATGTCCTCACAGAAGCACATCTTTCTTGCCAAGCCTAGGAAATGAAATAACTTCTCATATACAGTTACATCCGGGTGGTTCCCATTATGGCTTTCTTTATCCCCAGTGATTGTCCACAAATATTTGCTACAGAAGAAACTGGGATGCCACAGAGAAATATAAGTTAAAACATCAAGACAGAGGTTCTTTTGTCTGCAAAACCCTTCCATCCCTCTGTCTCTCTCTCTCAATATATATGCATGTCTGTATATATGTTTTATTATCCTCTTAAAATCTGTGACCTTTTCATGGTTTGTTTATATACATGAGCCCACATTCAGGTTTCAGTCAGGCCAAGAGACATCCAGAATCACTCCACAGATTTCTGTATAAAGTGATTGAGAATAGAACCCATTCCTCAGTACAGTAACATTGTGTTCTTTTCTCCCTTTCAAGCACCATTTCCATATAACAATCTTGGCACTTAAGGACTCCATAAAAATGAACAAGCCAGACTGTGACTAATATTCCAGAACTTTGCACTCCAATTTTCCCTGTGTGACAGAACAATGTATTTGGTTTTTCTGGCTTTACTGCAGAGAGAAAAGGATCCCAAAAGAAAATGCAAACATCAGCGAATGTCAGAACTAGTTATACTGAGAAGTTGTGGACCCACAAAAATAACACATTTCTTTGTAAGTCCCAAGCCAGGACAAACCAGATTGACTTCAAACTGCATCCACTCTGCAGCAGGAAACGCTGCAGATCAAGTAACTGTGGTGTCTGGAGGAGAGCAGGGATTTGCTGGTAGTTTGCTCCTTGTCTTATGGATCATTTTAATGCTGCTTTATCTCCAATTGTGATCCCATTGGATGTAGCTAAATTATCTGCTGTTAAACTAGCATATTTGGTCAGAGAAAAGAAATAGAACAGAGTAAAAGCCTTCTGTGGCTTACAAGTAACAAGTACTTCAAGGCAAAGATGAGAATGAATGGATTCTGTAGTTTCCTTTTTAATTTTTCAGCCCACTCTCATAATTTGGATCTATTACATAACATTCACACTAAGCCCTGTTAATAGCAGAAGTCTCTTCTACCAAACTGTTGACCAGGTCCTGAGCTGTCATTATTATTTACTATAAGCTAATGATTTTGGTGACAGAAGGTCTTACATTTCCCCATATCCCCAGAGTGATTTGGGATTCACTTGGACCAGTACTTCTGTCAAAGCTTGTTAGAAGCAAGAAAACTTGTTCTAAAACTGGCAGTAACTTTCGTATAATCCTTGTGAGTTCATTGGTTAAGTCATTAGTTAACAGTAGAGAAACACTATCTGCCATATGAAATGGAAGATCCAGCCATAAAGCTGCAAGATAATTGCAGCAGGAGAAACACAGGTTGGTACTGATTAGGCAATGTGCTAGGCAAAGCTGCTCTGTCACTTCACTTTTGCTAACAGTTGCAGCAATCCAGCACTAATCCTTCAAGCAGTCAGACAGTGAGGATGGATTAGTCTCATGACCAAGTGCTGAAATGCCAAAGCAAAGTCCTGAGCAAGTGAAAACTCTTTTGGGATGAAACTTCTCTCTTTCCTCTTTCTTGTGGTTCTGATGGCTCTCATTTCACGTATCTGAGCCATTCCCTTTGTTATGTATAAAAGTTACGACCTAATAGACCGTGTTTATGGAGAAAAGCTTTCATGTGCCACTGAGTATGAAAGTGATTAAGTCTGTTTCTTGTGTCTGAATTCCCAGTATTATGTCATGGCAGTGTTTTAATTCTGAGGCACTGCCAGACCTTCCTAGTCAGAGATGAGTGCCTTTATCCACCTCCCTGAAATCGTGTCTCCCAGATCAGGAGCTGAGAGATTCCCAGCAAAGCCAAGAGCAGGACTGTGGCACCTGTAGCAGTATGTCAAATGCCTATTGCCACTGCTTACATACTCTCTAGAAACACTGATAGTAGCGTGACTGTGGGAAAGATCTGCCTTGTGTTTGTGACCATTAAACATTTAACGCAGCTTAAGGATGGAGGTTTTGGCACAGGTGAACATGAAAACCAGTAAATAATGTACTTTAATCTTTTAAAAGCTAGGACTGTATTATGAGTCCAGTAAATTGCGAGTTCATGGATATAATCCTTCAACTGACACTTGGCAAATGAGTAAAGACAGATCTAGGCAACCTTTAGGTAAGTGCGTAGTTCAAGGCTTGGGTTAGGCAGTTCTCCAGTGAAGTGTCTGTTCTCTCACACGTTGTTCATCTTTTAAGTATTTCTCAGTTTGCAATATTATTAATAACCAAGTGTAGTTTTATGGTAATAAAAGCTTGAAAACTAAGTTTCCTCATCATGCGAGCCTTGCTGTGCCTTGCTGGCTGTAAGGGCTGAGCTCTGCTTCATGCAACAGTGCTGTGAGGGGGAAGCTTTACAGATTCAAAGAACTTCAAGCTAGGATGCTTGATCTCTTCCATTGCCCAGAGTTTCCCATCCTGATCGCGAAGCTTTAAATGACAAAGAATTCAGAATCTCCCTAGAAAAGATGTTCTCTCCAGAGCCCTTCAGAGTGGATGTAAAATGCTGTAAGAGTGGTCTCATTAGTACTATACTTAACATCTGTAACCGTGGTAATGGCACCTGCCTACTGCTGTGGGCTCCAGGATCATGCCTACTACAGCACTGTGTTAATCATTTGTTTCCCAAGGGCTTAATCGTGATGCACAAATCTTTTAGGTTTATGCTGTCCCCCAGCCTATGTATTGTCACCTCTATTCTTGTTTCTAGGTTTGCTGTTAGCAGCCACTCAGTGAATGGAGCTATTGTATTATAGAGGTGCTCTGTAAGACTGAGCTTTTTTGATCATTATTTTTCACTCCACCAGTTTTTGTTCAGATGCAGATGTTCTTAGCAATATTTTATAAAATCACTGACAAAAATAGCAATAGACCAAGAGCAAACACATCAAATCCTCTTGTCAATTGTCAGCTTCTGGAGACAGGACTTTTCTGTGTGTTGTTTCTGATACATCACTTGTTTGATGGACAAAGTACCACTGTACAGTAGGTCTTTACTTTGAAGTCCTGTTTGCTTATTCCATCATTTGGCTCAGAAGCATCCCTGCCCTTTGAGACCCTGAATCCTGCATTGAAAACATCATCATAAATAGATACTATATTGGAACAGACATATGAAGTGATACTCCTCCCCTATAGTATACTTTGATAAGAGGGTAAATAGTAGGCCACTGTGGGGTGGGTTGGATTATTTTGGCACATCAGGCTGAGGAATTAGGAACAATAATAAGCGAAGTGCTCTCTGAATAACAGTTTCTTGATTTCTTCCATCAAAAAGAAGACTCCTCCAACCAAAACAAACATTCACTTACCTTGGAACAAAAGTCTGTCTCCTTCCTGGAGAGATTAGTGAATGAGGACAGTTTGTTTTCATTCATGCAGTCTGCATTCAGTTTCATTTATTTTTGCCTGTTTAAAGAAAATAAATTTGCAAGTGTTTTGTTGCTGGTCTAATCATTGGTTAAAAGACTTGTTGCATTTCATGGGAATACTCCTGTATATTTCTTTTACAGCTAACAGTGGCTCCGAAATTCCTACCAAGCACCTTGATCAGTGCAGACTTTGCAGCCAATTATCTCACTAAGATCTATGGGCTCACTTTTGGACAGAAACCAAACCTGAGGTAAGGGGTCAGGAAGTAAAACAATGACGGTGTTCTGCCACTGCCTGGATGCAGTTGGTGAGTGATAAGAACTATCTGGCTAAACCATGTTATTGCCTACTTATGGTTTTTGGAAAGAAGCTGCCTGCTTGTTATTCTCAGCATGAAAGATCAAATAATCTCTCAAACAAATACATTCCAAGGGCTTTTCCTAGCTGCCAAGCAGTTTTCATAGATAAAAATTGAACTGTCTCCATTTTCTTTGTGTGTCAGTTATGAGTTGAAAAGAGTTTCTCAAAATGGAGATGAACTGTTTAGAAATCCCTAGTTTTATAATAAGTCCATTCATTTTAAAATGGAATCAGGTTGAGAGTACAGCACTTTGCAGTACTCAACTATATTAAAGCTAAGCACTTCAGCACCTTCAGAGTGGTTCATACCCTCAGGTGTGGTTTCAAAGGTCTCTCTGCTAGTTTCAGGTTGTGATTTTCTCAGCTGGATCCAGTGCAGCACATTGGCCCCTCTCAAATTCAGATCCACATAGATGACCTCCTGCAAGATATGGTCTTTTCCAAAGGTGTTTTGAGTAATCCGTAAGAATACCGCAGCATCTAAATCCTGCAAAGACAACTCAGACTCTGTTGGTAGCAATGTACGCATCCAGGTTGGGAAGCAGTTAATAATAGCTGACCCAGTTGAGCTCCTAGAGCTCAGTCTTGTGATGAACTGAAGAACTTTCCATTCCCACTGAATTCATTGAGAGCTGAATCTACACTGAACTTACTTGGCCTTTAGTCTGGTAGGCTCTTGGTCGCTGAAAAGGCTGATTTGCTCACCGATTCCTGGCAACATCTCATCATGAAAGAAGTTAGATTTATACATGTGTTATTTCTTTATCTAAACTGCAGAAGCTGCTGTGTTTTGATCGTGTACTAAAATTCTTGCACTCTTCTGAAGTGACTTTCACACTCTCCTATACCAACACTGCTTTTAATCAGAATAATAACTCATTGATTTCCAAGATTGCTGATAGAAAACCCTAACAAACACAGTTGTTCCAGCTGGTTTATTTGCCCTCAGTAGAGTTCATGGTCTCAGATGGATTATTTGGAAAGCAAGGTTTTAGGAAAGGCAAATATTTGTGAGTAAAAGTACAGCTGACCAGGCAGGGTGAACAATATTTTCAGTGTGGCTCTGAACTCCCTGGAGGGTGTGATCACATGATTGTGTTTCCATACTGAGCCTTTCCTTCCTTCCAGAAAGATGTTGCCAAGTTCTCTGCAACTGGTAAAGAATCCAAGATCAAGTTAGAAAAGCACACTTTGACACTGTGCTCTTGGAATTTTAACCTGTCTCTGCAAGCTTAGGGGCTTGCTGCATCTTGGGGTAAGCACAGGGAAGGAAGAGGTAATCAAAGTCAGTAAAATCCTGTCATTTCTTTTGTTAAAAAGAAGTCAAATGAGTTCTTTTTGCAGTTAAAACCAAAGAAAAGCAGGAATAACTTCATAGGTGTCCATTGCTTTATGCAGAAATAAAACCCGTGTAAGAAAGAACGAATCCATTCTTAAAAATCTGATTGGAGGAACTCTTCCTTGAATATTAAAGGCTGAAAGTAAGAAGAGCAAAAGGAGATTAAGAAGCCCTCTTTCTGTCAATCCCAAAGGTTCATTCAAAACCCGAATTCTTCCAGATTGAGAAATCTGCTCTTCCTATCGGTATTCTTTGCCTGAGTTCCAGGAGTAGAAGAGAACCTGTTTCCTGGGGTATTTCCAGCTGTCAGGGGAACAGAAAGAATGGAGGGTTGAGAGACATCTCTTTCTTAAGAGATCTGCAGGTTGATTTTGCCGAGGTTTGATTCCAAGCAGAAGTTAAAACTGGGGACATATCAATTATTCAGATATGAGTTTTAACCCTCTCACATGAGGCCACCACACTGACATTCTCTATTTCAAAGCACTGCACAATCCCAGACTTGCGCTCAGTTTCTTGTTAAGAAGATAAAGCTACATGTGAAATTAGTATTCATGTGCAGGTTTGGATTTTGAATAGAGCTAAATTTCAGAGAGTATTTGGACCAACCTTTTGGTTTTGCATCTGTATTCCTTACTGAATTAAAGGGCACATTTAAAAACCATATTGAATCAACTCAAGGAAAGAGGAAAAGATTGAAATACAGGTTTCAAACAGCCCTCTCATGGTAAACACCTCCCCCCCACACCCCGATCTCACTGTCAGTTTAACTTCATCTTTTTTCTCCTTCCAACAGATCTGTGTATCTTCACAACAACAAACTTTCAGATGCTGGGTTACCTGATAATATGTTCAATGGCTCTAATAATGTGGAGATACTCATCATGTCCAGCAATTTCTTGAAGTATGTTCCAAAGAATCTCCCTCCAGCACTATATAAATTACATTTAAAGGTAATGACAGCAAGGTTTTGTATTCTTTTATGACTGTGACAAAGTACTGTGTTTGTACAGCCAAGCCATTTCAGTGCACTTGGAAACATTCCCAGGCCCATTGCAAGTCTTGTCTGCTGTATCCCCAACAGTAGCTGTCTCCCATGGCCTTGCTTTTTGTTCATAAGCAACAGTTTGTTTTTGCAAAACACATGCTCAGAGGGAGCAAAATGCTTTTCTGTTTTCAGGGGAATGTGTTGCCCGTGCCTGTGTGGTGGCATTGCTGGCCTCTTCCCTGCATGTAATGGTATTAATACATATTATTGCAAGAAGGTAGATCATTCTCTATGGCCATCCGGTTGCTGGCTTCCCACTTAAGTTTGCCACTGATGATGCTGTTTTCCGGACAGCTGCTTGCCCACTGTGTGCTGGCTTTGCTTGCTAACTCACTTCACACAGACTGCTGTTTCCTAGCATCAGTGGTTTTCCTTTGCTACCAAACTGGCGATTCAGATGACACAGAGGAAGTTTGGATTGGTGATTCTTCGTTACTACAGCTTCTCCAGCGATAGTGCAACTAGCAGAAGTTGTGGTATTAAGTAGTCTCCAGCATTTTTAATTCCATGTCATCTGATTTTGATAAAAACACTTCATCATGTCTGTGCTAGAGATCTCAGCCTTGTTAATGATGGGAGAGCAGTAGCAGTGGGGAGTCCTGGTTCTACTTCTCCAAGCGTTGACAGCTCCTTGGACGTGTGTAGACTGGAGCCTGTTATCAGCCCTGAACTTAGGCAGTTGTGTTGCCTCCCAGCTTTCTTTTCCCTCGAAGGTTTCACCGCTAATTCCCATTAAAGTCTTCTAGAAAAGAGGCTTCTCCAGCCTGAAGAAAAGTAAAGGCAAACAGTCTGATCCTTTAAATTGCTGGAATTCTCTGCAAAGTGTGAAGTCACTAGTCCCCTGCATTGTATTGCCATTTATAGGGGATTATTGTCTCCCAAAGGGGTCTCAGACTTTGAGGATTACACTTTGAACTCATATCCTTCCCTGCTGCCACCAATTGTGTTAAGGGCAGAGGAGCTGAAGAGAGAAATGGGCATTTTGTTTTCATGTGCACTGCCTCTCAGTAGTAACATTTACCTTGATATTCCGACTGAGAAAAAACAGGACAATGAGAAATGAGAGATGGCCAGTAGTGGACCAAGAGTGTCCAAAATGTGTACTTCAGATGTGGCAGAGCTTCGATTTTTCTTTCACTGTTCACTGAGACACTCAGCCAAATCTGTCTGTGATGTCGTCCACTTTATATTAGTTGGCACATGAATCCAGTTAGTCTGTCCACTACATTTTTGTGTATACATGGATTGGGGGAAGTTTAACAAATTCAGTGGCAGTGTTTTATATATCCTTTTATAATTCCTACAGTTTCTGTATGGAATTTCTAAGTGGATTGTTTTGTTCATGTCTGCCCACTCGCTACTCCAGAGTGATGCTAAGGCAATAGAAGTAATTGTTTTGGGATCTACATTGCAGGAACTGCACCTTTTGGAATATTTGGGAAGGTAGCAGGTTCCCAGCTCCCAGTTGAATTCTTCTTTACGGTGAAATCTGTCTTAAAAATTCCAGAAATCTTGAGCAAACTCCAGAGGTAGTTTCCTGGATCACATTATACATTTGCACATAGGTGGGAGGGCTATGAATACAAAATAAAGCTATCTGGGAGGCAGGGGCAAATTCTACCTTCTTAACCCAAAGTTTCCATGGGGAATCAATAAAAGCAGCTTGCAATATTTCAGTCTAGTATTTGTATTTATTTCTTAAGCAGAATTATCATGCTCCCTGAAATATCTTACATCTGGCCCTTTTGAAGTTTGATTGCCTGATGCTAGTTGAGCAGAACCTGAATGTCTTGTGTCGTTTCATGCCAAATAATGTACTTTGTGCTTCTGGTGGCTCTAGAACAACAAGCTGGAGAAGATTCCCAAAGGAGCCTTCAGTGAACTCACAGGTCTGCGGGAGCTGTATTTACAGAATAACTACTTGACAAATGAAGGAATGGACAATGAAACCTTCTGGTGAGACTGAGATCTGTAGTTTGTACCTATGTGTCTTCTACCTCCTCTGGTACAGTAGTACATCTACTGAGCAAAGTATCTCTTAAATTAAAAGTACATTTGTTAAAAGCTGAATGATGTTACACAATCCTCTGCAAAATCTATATGAAAAGTCTTAGGTTCAGATGCTGCCATTCAAAAGGAAGGGTCTGGGTCAGTGGTTTGAATTCCCACTGCAGAATACTTTTATACAAAAGACACAACACTGAACATCAGCCCGCACCATTCCCTGATTGCCACAGACCCAATCACACCAGGTACTGAGTGCCTTCTGGGAAAAGGCCACCCAGAACAGTGTTGAAAGCTGGTCTCTGGTCTTCCAAACTAGTCAAAAGTGATGTTACTTGGGACTTTCCAGTTTCAAGGACAGATCATTGGAAGTTAAGGCCAGATCTTCATCTTTGCTAAAGCCACTTCTGTGTTTCTGGGAAGATGACTTGAAAGCAGATGATTGTTGGCGTAGGCAGGGGTGCAGTGGTGCTGCTCAATAGCCAGATGGCTGCAAAAGCTTTGCTACAAACTAGCGCAACAGAAATAGCCTTGGGCTGTCCTAAATTTAGCTTGGGACTTAGCACTTCAAAAAGTTAACGGTGTCTCTGCCTGCACTGAATTCTGCCCTTCTTCCACCTGAGCATCCAAGTCACGTAATCTGGCCTGCCCATAAATTCTGTAAACTTTTCTAATGTCCAGGCATGAAAATGTATCAAACTGTGCTTTCCTTTTCCACTTCCCACTCCCAGAGACCTCCTTTAACGATTTACCATAGCTGTGTTGTGTCCACCTCCACGTCATGTTGGACATACCGTTTCTGTTAAGATTTTGATAAAGGCTATAGCCAAAGCACCAGTCGCAGCAGAGAGGTGGATTTTGCTCCTTGCTCTCCTGATGCTGACTGTACACCACGGCATAGAGCTTCTGAGACCTACCCAAGCAGGGAAAGCATTTCAGCTTGCAGCAATGAACTGCTTGATCCAAAGAGTATTATTTGCTCATTCAGAGCATGCTTGGATAGTCGTGAATAGCAGTGTAGTAACCAGTAAGTAATGTCTGTAATGCATTAGTTCTTGCATTTCCTGAAAACTTTCTAGTCATCTGTAGTGGGTTATGTAGTGCCATGTGCAGATTAAAAGCCTCATTTGAACCGAGAAACTGACTTGAAATAGAAGGGAATAGAGGGAGGGCTCCTCAATCCTGGCATAAAACACCACTGATCCACATCCAGTTGGTATAAGTGGCTGGTCTGGGGATTTATTTTAGCTTCAACTGAGTCCATGGAATCCAGATTCAGTAGCTTACACAAAGCAGCTCTAGCCCTGACTCACTTCATAATGCTGGAGGGTCAGGAGAAGTTCACCATCTTAGTCTAGGCCACTGAATTGAGCATTTCTGCTTTTACTAAGAGTAATATTTTATCATCTGGAAAGCAGACCTTTAATATACACTTTTAGAGTGACAGAAAGACTCATGCTCAGGCTACGTTTCTGTGCAACCAAGGGCTAAATTCTGTGTTCTAATGGCACTCCCATAGCATCTTTCTTGTGGTATTGGTTCACTGAAATTGCTCACATGTTGCTATCTGTGGTGTCAAATGAGAGAACAGTAGACTACAAAACTGATCTCAGGTCTCAGCCCAGAGGCAAGCTAGATGTCTGTGGACTCTAGCAGGTTCTCTTGCAAGTGTGGCTGGGGAGCAATGGCAGCACCTAGTCCTAATCCCTCATGGCTCCTTGTTTTGCTGCCTACATCAGTCACAACATAAGACCAAAAAGGGCAGCAGTGGGAGCTATGCTGGGTAAAAAGGACTCTAAAGCAGAGATTGTAAAATCCATGGGGAAGTTGGTTATTGTTTCACCTTGCAGAATCTAAATGGAGAGTGTTTTCTTTCCTGCTTTCCCAAGGAAATTGTCTAGTCTGGAATATCTAGATTTGTCCAGCAATAACCTCTCACAAATCCCAAGTGGTTTACCTCGAAACATCGTCCTCCTTCACCTGGAGAAGAATGCAATTAAAGTGATTGGCAGAGATGTCTTGACCCAAATTAAGAACCTGGAGTATCTTCTACTCCACAATAACAAATTAAAAGCCCGAGGTATTCACCCACAAGCCTTCCAGGGCTTAAAGAAGCTGCACACTGTCCACCTGTACAACAACATGCTGGAAAGGATTCCCAGTGGGCTGCCCCGGCGAGTGAAAACACTTATGATCCTTCATAACCAGATCTCTGAGATTAACAGGAATGACTTTGCTACCACTTACTTCCTTGAAGAGCTGAACCTGAGCTACAATAAGCTCAAAAGTCCCCAGATCCACCGGGAGGCTTTCCGTAAACTAAGGCAACTAAAGTCCTTGGATCTCTCTGGAAACAACCTCAACACAGTGCCCTTTGGCTTTCCAAAGAACTTGCAGATTCTGAAGCTGAAGGAGAATGAGATAAGCATCATCCCAAAAGGGACTTTGTCTGGGATGACAAAGCTGCGGGAATTATATTTGAGCAACAATAAACTGAAAGTAAATTCAATTTATTCGGGTGCATGGAGAGAACTCAGCAGTCTCCAGGTAAAACATCACCTTCTCTAATTGTTTTAAGTGATTCTGATGCCGTCATCTGTCTGCTTAAGCCAGTTTATATGGCACCAGTACTAGATGTGCTTGGTCCTCATGTCTGGGGCTTGTAAGTGCTATGCCCTCTGTTTCTAGGGTAGAAATGATGTGCTATTGTGCCAGAGGTGGGTGCCTCCCACTGCTGACCAGGGTGCTAATTCTGGGAAGTGTAAAAACAGCTTTGTTTTTGAACCCTAACGATGTCCTATATCTCTGGATTAGTGAAATGTTGTCATTATAAACTGAAACTAGGCCTTTCAAATAGCTTGTCTCCCAAAAGATTTAAAATCAGCTCTGAAGAGAGACAGCAGGAGGAAGGAATGCATAAACAAAACCACTCTTAATTCTCAAAGCCCCCACATCAGCTTATAGTCAGACAGGCCAAGCTGCAGGATTTAGCAGCTGAGCTGGCTAAGGCACCTGGATAGCTGCTGGGAGGCCTGGATTCAGTCAGCAGCCTTCTAATTTGCTTAATTGTTAGAGAAAGTTAAACACAAGCCATAAGGCAGGCAGGAGAATCACATTTGTGCTGTGCAAAGTGCCCTTTCAAAGTTGTTACACTACTTGAAGGATTTGTCTGCGTTCCCTTTTAGGCAACAGCCTGTTTTCTGCAGTGAAAAGTATTAACCTGTGTCATATGGCAACCATCTAAGGGTGCATATGGTTATGTCACTGTACAGGCAAAGTTTGTCCGTCTCAGAGCAGACCAGGTATAAGGGACATGGAGTGTAGTGTGTTCTCGGATAATGCAAACGTTTATCTGTATGAACCTTTCCCTTTCAGTTGTTTATGGGAATAAACAATAGCTGGTTTTTCTGTTGATGTGAATCAGTAATGCAGCAATAGGATCTGTAGAGCTTTTGGCTTGCATCAGCTGCAGATTTGGTCCATGGCTTTAATGATACTTTTTTCATTTGTTTGGTGCCTCACTGATAGGTATAGAGGTGTTATGTATGTGTGTGTGCATGCGAATACATCTAAGATGAAAAGAATCCTGGAAGGAAGATGCTTTTGAGAAACACAGATTCTGGAATTGATAGGCACTGTCATTTGGGTTGGGTCTTCCTTCAAACAAAAATGGGTCAGGAGACCTGTTAGGCAGCGTTGGTTTTTGGTTGGAATGACAAGCTCTTGTTCTCAAAAGGCCTGATTCATAGTTCCTTCATGTTAGTTTTATTCTACTGTCACTCCCTGTTAGTCAGTGTCAGTGTCGCTGTATCAAACATTGGTCTTTCAGTTGTGCCTACCCCACCTCAAACCCTGTTCATGTTAAATAAGGTTAAGATAATAGCACATACTTAAAATCTGATTAGACTAATGGCGCATTTTTGGCTGTTGCTTTTTTCTGGAACAGCATTCCTACTTGTAATTTATTTCCATGATAGTATATTATGAATCTTTTTAATGTTAAAGGCTTAGGTGTGCCATTGTTTTATGAGCTGGTGCACCGGAGTGGATTTGAAAACAACCATCACATAAGATCCTGTTGGTGCATGTACTTAGCATATGCTTAGGTCCACACTGTTTACATTGAAATCACTGAAGACTGTCTGCAATTGCAGAGCCAGACATTTACATAATTGTTTGACACATTAGGATTATGTGGGGAATAAACCCACTGAAATCATGACAGTCATTTGCAGAAGTATAGCTTTGAATAATGTGCAACTAGCGTGTCACTTGGTGCAATGAAAATGCCACAATACAGGATAACAAAACACTTCTGTTGATCCATTTTCTTGTGTAAAATCCCTGGCCTTTAGTCCTGGTGTTTTCATACAGTCTTCATGTTAGAATATTTGCAGATGTTTTTATGTGTAACTCTAGTCACTAACCTTAGCTAGGGAAGTGTTTGCAGCAGCAGCAGCATCTTCCAATGACTTCTCGTGCAAATCTGAAAACCCAGTCTGCTTTTAATTCATGTAAAGCAGGCATGGGCTAAAGCTTGGGGGGAAAAAAACATTGGGACTCCTGAACAAAACAACATGATGTCTCATGCGAAGTCATGGTGCTAAATTGTAGTGTAAGGGATCAGAATTGTGATGGCTGCACTTAACCTTGATGCAAATTAGAGGTGGTTTAAATTGGTGTATACTATAATAAATATCACTTCAGGTTTTCCACCACAAACTCAAACTGCACCTTTTTGCATGGCTGCCAATCTGCAATTGCCGTTGTACACACAGTGTTTGTATTTGCCTGACCTCACCAGAAGGGAGAGGTTCTGCAGCAGACTCACCAAAGTGCCATCTGCAAAATAGAGCCTATTTCCAGATGATTTTCAGACACAACAAATCCTGGATAAGCTTTACATAAACATCTCACTTATGCAGTGTTAACGTACTAAGTTTTCTATAAGTGCATATACATACATACAGGTATTTTTATAGACTTACATGTATGTGTGTGTGTGTGTGTAGATATATATATAAAACAATGGATAAACTTCCAAAGCAGGAGGGAGTGTGTATAGAGCCAGCCTTTGGAAGCTCATTTGTTGTCAGATCTCTTTTTGGAATGCACAATATTTAAATTCAGCCATTTATTTGACCCCTTGTCTGTTTCTTGCAGTCACTAGACATGGCTGGCAACCAGCTGACTGCTATCCCATCAGACCTGCCAGAATCTCTGGAATATCTCTATCTTCAGAACAACAAGATCACAACAATTTCAGAGAGTGCTTTTGAATCCACACCCAAAATAAAGGGGATTTACCTCAGGTAAGGTCAAGTTTCCACTTCAACACACAAGGTTTTTTCTTCTTCCTCCACTTTATAATGGCTTACTGTTTGAAAAATACTTAAAACCCTAACTTCCAAAATAAGCAACTTTGTTTTCTAGTAATGTATGCTGAAACTGTGTTCATCTGCTCCAAAGAGACATGGCTACACGTAATAAGTGCTTTCTGTTTGGAGAGTGTTCCCTTTCTGTGGTTGTTAGAACGGATTAGGCATGTTAGAAATTCTGGGAAATTAGTGTTTAACATCATGTCATACTCCAGTCTTCAGCTGTGAGCTCAAAGTTTACACTGCTTGTAACACTACAGCTTTTCTTGTGTCCTGGATTTTGACAGAATCCCCCTTGAGCGAGGCGTGAATGACTAATCTTGGAGTTGTGCACATTCCCTTGACAGCTTTGTCAGAAATAAATGGCAAGTTACAACTTATGTAGCTAAGTTTAGAAGCTTTTTTATCCTATTCGGTCAGCTGGATGAGGACTTTGTTTTTATAGGTGACAGATACAGACCTTTTTTACATACAGTATAAACACGTGGTAATGTAACTGGTTTAAGCAGAGTACCACAAGAAGTGAAGCAAGAATCTGTTGCAGTAATATGTACAGTTTTAATCTGATTGAACATTACTGAAAATATTGCTTAGGATTAATCTATGAACCCTTACGGAACATTTCATTAAGCTGATCCAATGGATGTGTTCAAAGAACCTAGGCTGCCTGCTGCACAAGATTAAATGTGGCCTTATTTTGTCTGTATGCAGCTAAACTGCGCTGGAGAGTTCTGAAGCATACCTTTTTGGGTGAACGATTCCATACCAAGCAAATAAAATTACAAAGTCTGGTGTAAATTAGAGCAGTCTGTCTATTCAGCTGCTCACATTTATGAGATTTTAGTGAATGCTTGGATGCAGCCCAGAAACCACATACCACATTCTGTATTTCTATCTAAAGAGAAAAAAAGGAATTTGCGAAACTGTTTTGCTGATGTATTTAGGAGGCAACTCCACCCAAGCTATGTTTCTTAATGGGAAGCTATTAATCACTGCAATACTGTGAAACAACAATATACATCTGGAATATTAGACAGAATATGATTTGAAGCTTGTTCAAGAGTAACAGACCAAACAGTATAGGTGAGAGCAACTTAAATTGCAGATTAGTTCTTGGAAACCCAAATAACAGATGAAAAATTACTGCATGTTGCTTTGTTTCTAAAGGGATTCTTTGTGCCAGTATTTTGAATTTCGTGGAAGAAGAATTAAACTATCAAGGGATGACACTGAATCTCATGAAAAATCAAGTTACACTTTGAAATATGGGCTGTGGAGCAGAAGCCTGTGCTCTGTGTGAAGGAGAAAGCAGAATACCAAGAGAAAGAATTTGTGGGGGTGGAATTCCAATATTATGATCTTTTTCCTTGCATAATACAGTTGTAGAAGGAGGAAGAAGGGCTGAGAAAATTAGGAGGTTTTTGAAAGCTTGGTTAGTGAACTTGAAATCAATGAGAGATACTTAATGTTTCCCAGTATTTTCCTGCAGGGTCCTTTGTGATGGTAGAAAGTGCGGTCAGCAAACTTTGTTCAGTCATTTCAGTTGCCTGCTTGCAAATCAGAACCTGCTTTCCCTTCCCTTTCCCATTCAGAGGAGTCAGTACTCCTAGGGTGCTGTTGTGAGTCAGTGTAAAGTTAAGAGTAACTTGTGTCAGTATAAGAATGTAACTAGGGTTAGAGTAACTGCAGAATAGTTTCCTCCTACTCTACACTTTTCTGTGTTGGATATGAAAATGGGTTTATTTTAACAGGAAGACCCTTTTGTTTGTTTAAAGGTTTAATAAGATTGCTGTTGGAGCACTGAAGGAAAGTATCTTCCAAAACCTAAAGCACTTACAAGTCCTGGATATTGAAGGGAACCTTGAATTCAGCAACAGTTCAAAGAATAGGGATGACTCAGAAGAGGAAATGGAAGATGAGGAAGAGGAAGAAGAACTGAGATAAAACATGAATTCACACAGTCACATCATGTGGCAGGTAACAACTCTAGTTTAGTTAAATCAAGGACCCAGTTCTCAGACTCTTGTTTAAATAATTCCAATTTACAAGTATGACTAAAACATAACAAGTGGGTGTCTGAGCCCTGGACTCAAAAACTTCCATTAAAACATGGCTGGGAATTGCAGAATCAGAAAGGTTGAAAGTGTCATTTTGTGAAATGAAACAGTATATATCTGGTTTTTATCGAAGAAAGTGGACTGTTCATAGTGACCTCTGCTTATAGCTACAACAGACACAAAAGCTAAATATGAAAGTCATTATTTAGTAATTCTGATAACAAAAATAAAAGAAAAGGTCTTTAATATTTCTAAGCAACTGGTTCACAAGGAAAATCGAACCAACTGTGAAGCTTACTGAACGCAGAAGACCATGTGAGCTGAAAATGGATTAAAAAATTAGACAGATTAAAAGAAGATAGACCCATTGGTGTCTGTTAAACATGGCATTAAGATTACAACCTCTGTCTCAAGCAGACCTTACATCACTGACCACTTGGAGTGGGAATATAGTGCTATACTTGGCAGATTTCTTAAGGAAAGGGTATCTACTGCAGGTCACTTTTGGAGACCTTATGTAGGGCTGGATTAATGCCTGGTCCAGAGTAGCCAGTTCTCACAGTAGCCTGTGCTTTGTGCTTTTTGATAAGTCTTGGTGAGGTCTTCATTGCTAACCTCACCCAGATTCACCGAGAGGCATCTGGGCAGTTACAGGTGGTTGCTGCTGAGTTTGCACTGGTAACCGAAATTAAGATCTCGGTATTCCATGAGCAATCTGGCCAGCCACTCAATCTCTCTAGAAGAGAAGAATCTCTTCTCTTTTCAGCTGCAGAAGAAAAGATGAAGGGAGAATAATGTTTGAAGACTATCCAATTTTTTTTCTATAAGAAAAATGGGGATCTGCTTAGTGCATCTCTTAAGCATTTTGTGTTCAAAGATGATGAGGTTCAAGACACTACTCTCTACTTTTGGAGGTCTAAATTCTATGACTTGAAAGAAAAAAAGGTTTAAGTTTTTCATTTTGTCCCTAATAAACATTTTTTGTCATGGAGAATGACACAAGGAATTGCTAGCAATAGAGCTAATACATTGAAAAGGTAATGGGGCCTGAAACGAGCAGAAATTGCTTGGCAAGTCAAACATTAGACCTCCTGGCTGGGCTATATGAAAACTTTGTGAGAGAAGAAATAATTCATATCTGCAAATTTCAAGTACACATAACTTCGTAATCAGTACATCTCTGGTTTAGTTTGGGGTATGTGTGGCATGTCAGCAGGTACTAAGTTTAGCATATTCTGAATTCTGTATTCCATTATATAACTGATTTTGTTTTTCTGATTTGCAGGAAAGCATATGGAAAATTACATATGTCTATGTGTAGATATCTCTACAGATATACAGAGAACACTTAGCAAAACGTGCAATGAATTACGCAGAAACTGTCATGGCACTGGGCCAGGCTTATGGAAGACAATGTGTTACAGTGCCTTATTCAGGGAGAGACCCTGAATGCCTTTCCAAAGCTTCCAAATCATCTTATACAAGACCCAGGATCATAAGGGATTGCTCTGGAACTCACAAAAGCTGGCTTTTGTTTCTTCTGTTTCTCTTCCTTCACTGTTTCCATCTGTAATAACAATATGGGACTGTTTTGAAACATGCCTTCAAAGGCTGTTTTTGTCACTGCATTTTAAATGAACCATGTATATGCTTCTTCTCTTTTCCTCCACCCCAAAGAAGCTGTAACTGATCAGGAAAGATGGGTATTTGCAATAGTTACATGTGTGGAGCAGTATATGAGGCATTTTGGTCATCAAGCAGCAGTAATAATTCTGGATGCAACTATTCCTCTGTTATAACAATGTGTATATTTGGATGAGAAAAACAAAGTAAGGCTGGATCCCATAATATTTTATCTCTACTGCCAAAGCCTGCAATATATTCCTGTTTTAGAAAGGTTTTAAGATGAAACAATTGCTCTTGTGAATATATATATATATATAAAATCTGTATGTCTGCTTTCCAGAGCTCTGGTAAAGTTTCTGTCTTGGTGTTGTTTGCCCATGTGGCACTTGTGTAAATATCTCTGAAGGTATACCCAAAAGGTTGAGTAACAATATGCAGCTTAATATATGTGGTAGAATCTTTCACATATTGTAGATCATTCCCATTAAGAGTCAGAAGTGAGACAACTAAACCAAAATGGATAAGTGTGGGATGTCTGAGGAGAAAGCTGTTAAGTGTCAAGAGAAATTTGTTTAGTTCCAATCTGGAGCCAATACCTGCTGTCATACTCTTTTAAAGCCTCACCTATTTTATGGTGTTCAGTAATCTCAGCTCCTGTTGGAATCAGGGAAATTGAAGAAACCAAGATAAAGAAGACCTATAGAGGTACCTGGATAGCAAGTTTCTTTTTTGATTAAAATGTCCTTCACCTGAGGCAGCTCATCTGCTTGATGAAATGGTCTTTTCTTTTGAGGATTTGTGATTGAGCACATGTTGTTTTGCATACTGCATTCCAGGATTTACTTGGAAACACGGTTGGCTCTGTTTTTTAACAGCTGTTTTTCCTGCTGGAAAAGATCTAGTTCCACGCTCTCTCTTTGCATTCCCATAGCACAAGACAGTCATTTCAGGCTGGTATTTCCTACCTTAGACAATTCAACACAATCGTGAATCATAGAAGGAAAGATTGCTTCCTGAAAAAAAACAACCAAAACCAAAACTTTACTCTAAAAATTGCAAAAAACCCCCCCCCTTTTTTAATTTCTGCTATACAGCCGAGCAATAAAATAGCTTTACAGCTGACATTTGGGATAGATTTCTATGTAAAATCTTTACAGAATACAGCTCAAATTATTAGCTCTCTCCAGCAAACCCCACTGGAAGTTTTGCTGGTCTTTGGTGAAACAGACCAATTTATTATACTCCTGAAGAAGCTGAGAATATGCAGATTTGTACAGTTTTATGGAGAACAGTGCAATTACCTTTAAACTGCAGCCCCTTATACTGTGGTTCTGTGCGAAGTCAGGTGCCCCAGACTCCCTTTGAATCCGTTGAGAGTCTGTTGTGGTAAATTCAGGGGTGAAGGTACATTTTAGCACCTTGTAAAATCAGGCCCAGAATTTCAGGCTGATACATACACTGTTCAACTTCTTAATAAAGTGACAGCTCTTGCCAAAGGACACCTACCCACAGTATGTCCTGTTGGCCAAGCAGATTTAGGAAACCCTATTCCAAGTTCATTTTAAGCTAATTGCACGCCGAATCTGTCCTTTAAAGGAGAGAATGGTTTCAATCAGAGGGAAGGAGAAAAAAGAAGTTACCTCCATTCCCCAGTAAAAGCCTCAAAACCCAAGAGGAATATCTACCGATTGTTGTCTAGGAGATTGATGAGGGAGAACCACAGGCTTGGTTCCTCACTTAGCTGGTATCATCACCTATGACACTGGACATAAAGCTATCAAAGCAGAATGGTAGTTTCTTTCTTTCAGAGGACTATCAAGAGAGATGATGAGGAATAGTCAGAAGTCCCCAGAACTAAACCCACATATTTTTATGGCTAATCTGAAGGGTCTAACTTTCTTAATGCCATCAGTGAAAAAGTTGAGAAGTTGGCCTCTTAAGCCACAAAGCTGGTCCAGAAAGAGCCACCACCACCATTGTTTTCATTAACTTGGTTCTGCAAATTGCTTAGATTTGTGCAGAACAGAAAGTTCTTCAGGCTGAGATAGAGGTATGGATAGTGCAAACGTGAAGTCTAAAACATTCAGTTGGCAACTTTATTCCCAAGCAAGCATTTGCACATGCTTTGTATCCGTGTGTGGTCAGTATGCAAACTGAGGTTTATTTGCTGTTTTAAAGGCCAGGTTTCCTCATTACATAGAAAGCTGCAAAAACTGGGTGGGAAATGGGGTTTCTTTTTGAGATCGGGTATGACTTTTTACAGCAAGAGGGGTACAAACGCAGCATGTGAGCTATCAAGCGGGTGCCAGACATAGCCCCTGGATAATGAGCTTTGATTTCAGATGGGGGCACGTAGCCCGGCTGCGTCTGCAGTGTGGACAGACCCTTCTCCCCTCAACCCCTTCCTTCAGGCTCCTCACCCCCATGGCCATCCCCTCTCAAGGACTGAGGCACCCAGTGTCTTCCCCTCACTCCTGACCCACACCGCTTTACCCCACTGGCTTGGGGGCTTCTCAGAGTAAAGGCCAAGGGTAATAGTGTTTTCCTCAAAGGCTTTATCTCCTCACAAGGGGGTACGGCCCCTTCTCCTGCCTGGGTGCTGGGAGGGGGCTGTAGGGCTCATGCTGAGGCGCTGGGGGTCAGACTGGATGTGGGGGGACCTGTTTCCTTCTGCTCCCCATGTTCCTCACTCCTGCCCCAAATGGGCAAAAAGGCCTCACAAAGGAGCTGGCGCCGTCCTGCCTGCTGTGAGGAGAGAAGCGGCCATGGCGGCTCCTCTGTGGAGAGGGAAGTGGCACAAGGCTGTTCGCTCCTCCAAGATGGCGCCCTGGCACAAGCCTGAGGCCACCCGTCTTCCAAGATGGCTCCCTGTGAGCCCTTCTTCAGGGAGCAACAGGACCTCATGGGTGACCAGCAACAGGCAGGGTGAGTTGTGGGGAACACCAGCAACCATGCTGCCAGGGAGGGAGGCAGGGTGAGGGGCTGGGGAGGCCAAGCGCCATTGTGGTGTGGTGAGGGGGCCCCTGCTGTGCCCTGCGGGCCTTGCCACACCATGCGGTGTGGTGTTTGGGGTTTAAGTGTTGTGTTTAATGAAAAAGAGGTGCTTTATACAGTAAGTAGATACTCTTCCAGGGAAAAATGAGTTAAGAAAGAAACAAAAGAACTCCAAAGGAAAACTTTGAAGTCAATTTGAAGGGGGATGTGGTGGGGCAGGAGGGAGGCTGCAAAGTGCTCCCTTGGGGCAGCGGGAGCACCTCCTAACGAAAACTGCAGCCTGCTGGCAGCAGCACAGCATCTCTGCAGGGCTGCTTCCCTCAGGAGCTGCCAACCGCCCTCCTCGCAGCCAGCTCTGGGTCAGGCAGCCATGCCTGGGGGGGCTGCAGATTTACTGGATCATCTGAACAAAAGAATAACTGCTCTGGGGACTCGGAGACTGTTTTTCTTAGCTCCCTCCCATAAGTCCTACAGGATTGTCTGTTGGAAGGGCAGCTGGGGAAAGGATCATCCAACTCCTGCAGACGCTGAAGAGTCGGGGTGGCAGGCCTGCTCCTAAGGCATCTGTGGTACAAACCCTCTCCCCTTCTGCTACTTTGCAAGATGGATAGAGGGGACTTCTGCCTGAAAACACTGAGGATCTGGAGTGGCAGAAGTCAGGTATGTGCAGGAGTGAGGCTATGGACCTGCATTAACAAAGGGAATGAGAATAGGAAGTGTCCTCCCCCCTGGGACCCAACTGCCATTTCTTCTGCTCCTCAGTGGCCCGCACAGTGGGGAAGCAGGAGGGCCATGATCGAAGTGTCATGATTGTTCTCTTTCAGCAGTGGTTTCCGGTGGTTATTCTCCTTCATCCTACCCCTACGTGCCCTTGTAAAATGTTCCTCTGCAGCTTTCTTGTAGGCACCTTTAGGTACTGGAATGCTGCTCTAAGGTCTTGTAGAGTTTAGTTTATGATGCTATTTGTCACCATGTTGACTGGGCCCACTAACGTTCTTACATATTTTGCTTAGAAAAAAAGTAATGAGAAAAAAAACATATTTCACAAATAATATTTTTGATGGGAAGCAGTCTCTTGGAAAGCTTCTATGATACAGCCCAATCTTCTACTAATTTATTTTATTCTATACTGTAGTATTGGTGAGTCTTTCTTCTTGGGTTTGAGAACAGTTGTCCTAAAAGCTTAAACATAAAGAGTTTTACATAATATGAATTTAGCCTTGTTTTTTCAAGATACTTCCTTGTCTAATGGGATTAATTTATGAAGGTCATTGTACTTGCTTTACTATGTTGCTAACATAAGAACAGTGAGTAAATTCCCTAAAGAACTCCATCTCACTTAGTGAGGAAAATACTGGTGTGCCCTGTAGCTCTGATTCATAGTGCCATTGTAAAGTCAGCCAGCTGTGAGATGTATGTGGAGGATGGATGATAAATGTGTTCTAATAATCCAGTATACAAAGTGTTTCCATAAAAATTCTTCAGTAGTATCCAAGGACATTAAACAGTCCATCAATAAAGTCCTTCTTCAAATGGTTTTGAATCAGGCAAAGGCTGTTTTAATGCAGTTATACAATCTATCTCAAGTTTTCCCCATGGTAGTTCCAGAATCTGTTTTTAGCATATGATTATGATGCTGCCAAGAACATTGCTTCTGATAAAAACTGAGATTGATTTGCAGTATTCTCAGCTCCAGTTGCTGAAATGAAATGAATGAGTTTGAAATGAATGAGTCTCGTGCTTTTATTACTTGTGTGTTTGTTCAGTCATCAAAGAAATTAGCTTTAAAACCTCTTTACTTAGGATATATTTTTTACGCAGGATTAAATTAACTTTGACTGATTACTTAAATAGTACTCCAGATCTCCCCTTCTTTGCGGTGGACCTCTGTTTTCGTTCTGTTTAATTCAAATGCAGTAGTGGGATAAAACTCAAAGCACTACTGATGTGCTGAAGACAGGAGAGTTGCTGCACTGAGGCACCCTCATCATCCACAGCTTAAAAGAGCTGGCACTGGAAGGCTCACTTCGATTGTTCCTTCTCTCTCTGTAAAGCAGGTAGGAAAAACCAAAGTGAATCTTCCAGTGCCAAACCAGGCAGAAACAACTGAAGTGAGTCTTCCAGATTGTTCCCACCTGCTTTCAGAGAGGAGATAAACAAAACATCTGGACACAAATAATCTCCAAGACCTTTTGTGAAATTTGCTCTGCAGAGCTGCAGATTACTTGCTCAAAAAGAACAGTCTGGAGCTGTACATCAGTCCTGTGCACTGCACCAGTGAGAAAACAACTAAGAATGAGCAGTCACAGGGGAAATTCTCTCCATTAGAGAGCTTTGAGCCTTTCTTTCTGAACTTTCTGCTGGAGCTAGCTCCAACCACAGTGCTGGCCTGATACATGCTGTCCATCCGGGTTCCTCGTTCCCCAGATATTTGGTTAGGAATGATTTCATGTCAGATAAATGCTTTTTTTTCTATTAAAAAACCCTGAGAAGATTGAATGATTTATTCTAAAACAAAGATCATACATTTCCTGAATAAACTCTAAATAAAATATAGACTATCCAAATCTCTGTACTTTGTTTTCAACAAGAGTCATGAAATATAGAAGAACTATTTAAAATATTTAAATGGAAAAGAAGATGGAAGATTAGGGTTGAAAATACTCAGTTTGACTTAGTTCTGTCTAATCTCCACATGCTTTTAATAGCCTAGTGGTAAAACCCAATAAAACCACTAGAAGCAATGAAATCATAATGAAACATCTC